GACGAAAACATGGGCGAAATATTTTAATAGTTGAATTAAGGTAAAATGAATTGAATCATGTGTCATGCTTATAAAACCTTTATGTATTTGCGAAACTAAAACTGTTGAGCAAAGGAAAATATTCTCGCCCATGGGCCAAACCTTTTTCTCGCCCATGGGCGAAATATTTCAATATTGCTATACAATAGTTGAATTAAGTTAAAATGAGTTAAATTTTGTGTCATGATACTTGAATAAATATATTTAATGTATTTGCGAAACAAAAACATGAGTTTTAAGTAAAGGAACATATTCTCGCCCATGGGCCAAACCTTTTTCTCGCCCATGGGCGAAATATTTCAATATCGCCATAAAATAGTTGAATTAAGTTAAAATGAGTTAAATTTTGTGTCATGATACTTGAATAAATACATTTAATGTATTTGCGAAACAGAAACACGAGTTTTGAGAAAAGGAACATATTCTCGCCCATGGGCCTACCCATGGGCCAGTCTTCGCCCATGGGCCACACTTCTAAATAGTGTAAATATTGAGTTTTTGAACAATTTTTTTCTCCAATTTTTCTTCCTTGGTATGTTCCCATGAAAACAGCATGTTTAATTTTGTAAATACCTTTGACCGAGATTCGGCAAAGACCGTAGAGTTTCTGGACTTTTGGGTTTCCAGAATTAAAATGGGACGTGTTGTAGGTGTTTCGGCTTGTATTCGTAGTTGTGTGGGCTTGTGTAAGTAGCTGTGTGAGCTTGTGTTCGTAATTGTGTTGGTTGTGTAACTAGTTGTGTCGGCTTGTGTAAGTAGTTGTGTGGGCTTGTGTAAGTAATTGTGTCGGCTTGTGTAAGTAGTTGTGTGGGCTTGTGTAATTAGTTGTGTCGGCTCGTGTAATAGATGTGTCGGTTTGTGTACGTAATTGTGTTGGTTATGTAACTAGTTGTGTTGGTTTGTGTAAGTAGTTGCGTTGGCTTGTGCAAGTAATTGTGTTGGTTGTGTAACTAGTTGTGTCGGCTTGTGTAAGTAGTTGTGCCGGCTTGTGCGAGTAGGTGTGCGGTCTTGTGTAAGTAGTTGTGTGGTCTTGTGTAACTAGTTGTGCCGGCCTGTGTAATAGTTGTGTCGGTTTTGTAAGTAGTTGTGTCGGTTTGTACAACTAGTTGTGTTGGTTGTATAAGTAGTTATGTCAACTTGTGTAAGTAGTTGTGTCGGCTTGTTTTAGTAGTTGTGAGGTCTTGTGTAAGTAGTAGTGTTGGCTTGTGTAAGTAGTTGTGCGGTCTTGTGTAAGTAGTAGTGATGGCTTGTGTAAGTAGTTGTGCGATCTTGTGTAAGTAATTGTGTTGGCTTGTGTAAGTAGGTGTTTCGGCTTGTGTAAGTAGTTGTGTTCGTTGTGTTAGTAGTTGTGCCGGCCTGTGTAATAGTTGTGTCGGTTTTGTAAGTAGTTGTGTCGGTTTGTACAACTAGTTGTGTTGGTTGTATAAGTAGTTATGTCAACTTGTGTAAGTAGTTGTGTCGGCTTGTTTTAGTAGTTGTGAGGTCTTGTGTAAGTAGTAGTGTTGGCTTGTGTAAGTAGTTGTGCGGTCTTGTGTAAGTAGTAGTGATGGCTTGTGTAAGTAGTTGTGCGATCTTGTGTAAGTAATTGTGTTGGCTTGTGTAAGTAGGTGTTTCGGCTTGTGTAAGTAGTTGTGTTCGTTGTGTTAGTAGTTGTTCCGGTTTGTGTAACTAGTTGTGTTGGTTGTGTAAGTAGTTGTATCGCTTTGTATAACTAGTTGTGTTGGTTGTGTTAGTAGTTGTATCAGTTTGTGTAAGTAGTTGTGTTGGTTGTGTAAGTAGTTGTTTCGGTTTGTGTAACTAGTTGTGTTGGTTGTGTAAGTAGTTGCGTGGGCTTGTGCAAGTAATTGTGTTGGTTGTGTAACTAGTTGTGTCGGCTTGTGTAAGTAGTTGTGTTGGTAGTGTAAGTAGTTGTATTGGTCTGTGTAACTAGTTGTGTTGGTTGTGTAAGTAGTTCTGTCGGCTCGTGTAATAGATGTGTCGGTTTGTGTACGTAATTGTGTTGGTTATGTAACTAGTTGTGTTGGTTTGTGTAAGTAGTTGTATCGGTTTCTGTAACTAGTTGTGTTGGTTGTGTAAGTAGTTGTTTCGGTTTGTGTAACTAGTTGTGTTGGTTGTGTAAGTAGTTGTATCGGTTTCTGTAACTAGTTGTGTTGGTTGTGTAAGTAGTTGTTTCGGTTTGTGTAACTAGTTGTGTTGGTTGTGTAAGTAGTTGTATCGGTTTGTGTAACTAGTTGTGTTCGTTGTGTAAGTAGTTGTTTCGGTTTGTGTAACTAGTTGTGTTGGTTGTGTAAGTAGTTGTATCGGTTTGTGTAACTAGTTGTGTTGGTTGTGTAAGTAGTTGTATCGGTTTGTGTTTCTAGTTGTGTTGGTTGTGTAAGTAGTAGTATCGGTTTGTGTAACTAGTTGTGTTGGTTGTGTAAGTAGTTGTATCGGTTTGTGTAACTAGTTGTGTTGGTTGTGTAAGTAGTTGTTTCGGTTTGTGTAAGTAGGTGTGTTGGTTGTGTAAGTAGTTGCGTGGGGTTGTTTAACTAGTTGTGTTGGTTGTGTAACTAGTTGTGTCGGCTTGTGTAAGTAGTTGTGTTGGTAGTGTAAGTAGTTGTATCCGTTTGTGTAACTAGTTGTGTTGGTTGTGTAAGTAGTTGTGTTGGTTGTGTAAGTAGTTGTATCGGTTTGAATAACTAGTTGTGTTTGTTGTGTAAGTAGTTTTTTCGGTTTGTGTAACTAGTTGTGTTGATTGTGTAAGTAGTTGCGTGGGCTTGTGCAAGTAATTGTGTTGGTTGTGTAATTAGTTGTGTCGGCTTGTGTAAGTAGTTGTGTTGGTAGTGTAATTAGTTGTATTGGTCTGTGTAACTAGTTGTGTTGGTTGTGTAAGTAGTTCTGTCGGCTCGTGTAATAGATGTGTCGGTTTGTGTACGTAATTGTGTTGGTTATGTAACTAGTTGTGTTGGTTTGTGTAAGTAGTTGTATCGGTTTCTGTAACTAGTTGTGTTGGTTGTGTAAGTAGTTGTTTCGGTTCGTGTAACGATTTGTGTTGGTTGTGTAAGTAGTTGTATCGGTTTGTGTAACTAGTTGTGTTGGTTGTGTAAGTAGTTGTTTCGGTTTGTGTAACTAGTTGTGTTGGTTGTGTAAGTAGTTGTTTCGGTTTGTGTAACTAGTTGTGTTGGTTGTGTAAGTAGTTGTATCGGTTTGTGTAACTAGTTGTGTTGGTTGTGTAAGTAGTTGTATCGGTTTGTGTAACTAGTATTGTTGGTTGTGTAAGTAGTTGTATCGGTTTGTGTAACTAGTTGTGTTGGTTGTGTAAGTAGTTGTTTCGGTTTGTGTAAGTAGTTGTGTTGGTTGTGTAAGTAGTTGTTTCGGTTTGTGTAACTGGTTGTGTTGGTTGTGTAAGTAGTTGTATCGGTTTGTGTAACTAGTTGTGTTGGTTGTGTAAGTAGTTGTATCGGTTTGTGTAAGTAGTTGTGTTGGTTGTGTAAGTAGTTGTATCAATTTGTGTTACTAGTTGTGTTGGTTGTGTAAGTAGTTGTATCGGTTTGTGTAACTAGTTGAGTTAGTTGTGTAAGTAGTTGTATCCGTTTGTGTAACTAGTTGTGTTGGTAGTGTAAGTAGTTGTATCGGTTTGTGTAACTAGTTGTGTTGGTTGTGTAAGTAGTTGTATCGGTTTGTGTAACTAGTTGTGTTGGTTGTGTAAGTAGTTGTTTCGGCTTGTGTAACTAGTTGTGTTGGTTGTGTAAGTAGTTGTATCGGTTTGTGTAACTAGTTGTGTTGGTCGTATAAGTAGTTGTATCGGTTTGTGTAACGAGTTGTGTTGGTTGTGTAAGTAGTTGTATCGGTTTGTGTAACTAGTTGTGTTGGTTGTGTAAGTAGTTGTATCGCTTTGTGTAACTAGTTGTGTTGGTTGTGTAAGTAGTTGTATCGTTTTGTGTAACTAGTTGTGTTGGTTGTGTAAGTAGTTGTTTCGGTTTGTGTAACTAGTTGTGTTGGTTGTGTAAGTAGTTGTATCGGTTTGTGTAACTAGTTGTGTTGGTTGTGTAAGTAGTTGTATCGGTTTGTGTAACTAGTTGTGTTGGTTGTGTAAGTAGTTGTATCGGTTTGTGTAACTAGTTGTGTTGGTTGTGTAAGTAGTTGTATCGGTTTGTGTAACTAGTTGTGTTGGTTGTGTAAGTAGTTGTATCGGTTTGTGTAACTAGTTGTGTTGGTTGTGTAAGTAGTTGTATCGGTTTGTGTAACTAGTTGTGTTGGTTGTTTAAGTAGTTGTATCGGTTTGTGTAAGTAGTTGTGTTGGTTGTGTAAGTAGTTGTTTCGGCTTGTGTAACTAGTTGTTTCGGTTCGTGTAATAGATGTGTCGGTCTGTGCAAGTAGTTGTGTATGCAGTTTTAAGTAGTTGTGTAAGTAGTTAGGTAAAAACTTATGTAATAATGTGTCAGCTATTGTGAAAGTAGTTGTATAGATATGTGTGTGTGTGCATCTGTGTAACGAGCTGTGTAGCGTCAGATGTAGTCGTGTGAGTGGTTGTGTAGGAAATGTTGGTATCAACAGTATTTTGATGGGTATTTTTGGCATTAGAAAATTCAGTGACGAAAATTGCATCTTATATTTGGATAGTGTTTAGACATACGAGGATTCCAAACATTCATTAGCGCACTTTACATTAATTTCACGGTCTGTTACTTATTGCTGCTGCCTGTAATTGTGTCGATTAAACTGCCTTATTTGATTGTAATCCTAGGTAAGACTGTGTGTTTCAATATAATTTAATATTTATTCATTGACCTTGTCTGCTTACTGATTTTAACATGTTAGTTCTAGAGAAACCGATTTCGGGGTTAAACTTTGCATTTCAATTTGGAACTTACTTCGTAACTAATGTAATAAAAAGGTTTCTCATCAATACTTTCTTGCCATTAATTACCTTCAAAATATAAATTCATCACAAAAGCGGGTAAGAAACTTGATCTCATCACCTTTTCTGCTGTGTATCCCTGGGGTAGATTGTCAGGAATTTTGGTGCTGTTGTTTCCAGGCGCCACGTACAGGCTGCATCCGCGGCTCTTGGCGTCATACTCTGGGGAGTGGCACCCACCGGTTACCACACAAAGTCTGTAGCACTGGAGGTAATTGCTAACCTTCATCTTTGCAAACTCCATACTGCCAATGACTGGGTGCCCCAACATCCCCACCAACGGAACCACCCGCCACAGGAACACCACCGCTCTCGTCAGCGACTCCATGACATACTGGTGGAAAACTGGGAGAGCTCCGGATAATGTCTAAGTATGTCGGGAAACTCCTTGTTTTTCGACGACACTGTCACTATTTAGTTAAATGTGGTTACCAAAGCAAAGTTTTGCTATTGTGTCTTAATATATTAGTGATATAGATTGCATGCTTCTGTGCACACTACCTTTAGAGAACCGTTTTTTCATCGCTTGTCTGTTGTTCATTTTATAACATCTTACTCGTTTGCAATCAATACCGTAAGCTATGGATGAAAAGGTTCTTGACAGTCTTACCCGTTTTTGCAAACAACTGATGTTCAGATCATGTCTACGACTATTTTGCCTTTGCGTTTGTCTTTGCCGATGACATTTGTTTCTGCAGATAACAGATAGTGATTATTCTCTGGCATTGACGTTTTATTTTTACATAATTATTTCAAATATAAAGACGTAAAGATGATCGGTGTCTTGGTTTCAATTGGCCCACCTTTAAGCAAACACCTGGTATCATCACTATCGGAAAACGATTTTAGAAACAGCATATGCTTGTGACATAGTCGGAATATCGAAATCGTAAAAGAATTCTGCTTTTAGGACGAAGAAAATTTTAAACATTAGCATATAAAATGCTCCATTTATCCGAAAATCTGGAACTTTGTGGCTGTTTGGGGGGCATTTGAAGACCACAAATGTGTAAAGTAGAGAATTTGCAAGATAAATTCCAGTGCATATACAGTTTTACACGAGTTTATATTTGATATAATACTGTAATAGTGCTACAATCTGATCGGTTGAAAAACGATTGGATCCTGGAAATCGTTCGAAAATTAAAACTTATGCTTGAGACCTTTAAAAAAACAACTTGCCTGCCACAAAGAATACATTGTTGCAATGTGTTTTTTCTCACAACAAACTCAGGCTTATACTATTGAAAAAATATATCTGGTTTTGCAGCTTAAGCTAAATTAATATATCTAACATTTCACACACAACACACAACAGGACCTCAACTCCACACGATTTATATGATTACGCACAAATGGTTGTGGACGAGCTGTAAGAAATAACTTTTATACAAGGAATGCCCATGAAATTTCCACATGTCACGCATTCCAGGACTTCAAACGGCGCAGTCAATGGAGAGCAATGATAGGTCAGTTTAGCCTCCATAACACTGACCTTGCAGTCGTTTTTCCTTTACATGCAGGCCGTGGGTTTTCTCTAGGACATGAATATATAATGAAATATCCTCTTCATATATGCCAGTTCGACATGTGTTTAAAACAACCCTTTCAAACAGATTACCTGTACAAGGGATAAGGATTGTTGATTTATAATTTGACATTAAAGTTTCATCACGGCAAAGCATGAGATAATTTCCATTAAGATGGATAAAAACATTTTTGCAATGACAAATTAAACAATGAAAAAACACTCCACTGATAGTATGTACTGTCTTTTTCAAAGTTTCATCAACCTAGGGTGAGGCACATTTCATCATTTACACAAGAAACAAGAGCGAAATAATCAATAGGTTTATCTGTATATTTGTGATCGCTTATGTTATCAAATTGGGCACGTGTGGCCCAGTCGTCCAAGGCGCCGCGATTCGCTCTGAGTTGCGTCCCTTGGGCACGCCAGAAACCTATGATTGTGAGTTCGAATCCCGGTTCCCCCGATAATGGTTCTAGGTTCGTCAGCACCATACCCGTGCTCGTGGGTTTCACGAAAGTGGTAAACTTCTGAGACCTGCATCCGTTCGGCCTTTCCTCCCACATTAAGCTGACACCCCGTGATTATGACTGGAATACTGTTAAAGCGGCGTTAAACCCTACTCACTCACTCAGTACGTTATCAAAGTGAACAACTCCATTGTCGACAACAAGATCTCTTAATATAACAGGGTTTAATAGGGTTCTGGTACTTTTAATATTTGAGTGGGCTTTCCATCACAGAAGCTCAATCTTCTTTCAGACACAAATTGACATTTAGTTCACCAATAATCGTTGCTTGCTGGAATTATCAAGTGTGTATGTGTGTGTGTGTGTGTGTGTGCGTGCGTGCGTGCGTGCGTGCTTGCGTGTGTGTGTTTTGTTTAACGCCGCACTCAGAAGTATTCAAGCTATATGACGGCGGTCTGAAAATGATTGAATCTGGACCAGATAATCCAATCCAGAGATTGATATAATGAGCATCGATCCACAAAATTGGCATGCATCAACCAAGTCAGTGAGCCTACCCGAGCCCGTTAGTCGCCTCTTACGACAACCATAGTCGCCTCCTATGACAAGCATGGTTTGCTGAAGACCTATTCCAGCTGCACTGGCTACCTACGAGACTCAGTATCGTGTTCAAGCTGATCATGTTTGTCTACAAATCGATCAATGGTAATCCCCAGTATACCTCCAGGAACTCACTGCCCTTTACCCACCTGGACGAACTCTGAGATCTGCAAATTAACTACAGCTCGCTGTTCCACCAACCAGCAGAACAACATATGGCGACAGAACCTTCCGAAAAGCAGGCGCAACTCTATGGAATGCACTGCCCACTGATGTTGACCAGGGGATTTAAAGATGTCAACACCTTCAGATCAAAACTCAAGACCATCCTCTTCAAAACTGCATACATCTTGTGCAGGCAGTATATCTGGATAAGTAGCGCTATATAAATGCTTAATTTTATAATATTCTAACCCGGATCTTCATGGTTGGAATTATCAAGGGCTGGTGTATGCAATTTAATTGCAATAGTCTTGAACGAGACGTTAAACGTCATTTCACCAAACTTTAAAACCAAACTTAAATCACAACATCCTTGGTGATTTCTTCAGTTTCTTCAAGGACACCACTGATCCTAATAGAACTTCGACGGCTCGTCTCTACTCCCCCAGAACGTGTCTCCTCTCAAGTATTCACAAATATAGCTCAGTGATTATTAAAGACATATCAGGTACACAATCAGTGAACGAGCGTAGTATTGAATGAGTTGTGATGACAAATGCGACAATGTATTGGGTGATAGATATAAGTACACCTGAAGCTGAATCTCTCGGTGTTGCTGGAAACTGCATAGTGAAACTCGAGCATCCCCTTGTTGACCGTTTGTCTTTATGTCGTCCACTAATCCTCCCAGGCTTCATCGACAGCAAACGTGGAACACCTCAGTTCTATCCGAAGACGTTTCCACATGGCATGTTAGAGTTCCTCTGTCATCTGAAAGTGATAAAAGTGATAAGGCCCATGGAATATGTTTTATATACTTATATATGATTTATATATACTCTGCAAATAAAGAAATGCAAAAGTGGTTTTAGATGAATATTTTATATATCATATAGATAATCAACAGCTGGTAATTGATATTTCAAAATAGGCACACATCATTGTCATTGATCCAGGTTCCAATTTATCACCGGGCCATAAAACCAATTTAGTCACGGACTAGTGACGGCACCGCTTCCCTTTCTCTTAATTGTCTGGCTTCCGTCACCATTCGGCAAAGTCCAGCGGTCTGGTGACATTACGTCCATTGTTAGAGAATTTGTGACCCGTAAATCTTATTCTCCTGCGGTTTAATCTATACTTTTATCATGTATGTATTTGATATATGTGATCTCGTATATGTATGCAAACTTATTCATGTATTGAAAATGTTTTTGTAACTTTTGATTTTCACGCAGTAGCGCGATTATCTAGTACTGGAACATATTTCTCCAGTATTTATTTTCATTTTTGCCACATCGATAATTGTACATATCTGGTTGTAAATCTTTAGTGGTACCGTTGGATAGCTTATGTTCAGCGCTTTATTGTAGTGCATACATCTTCCGTATTGCTTCAGTAGTTAGCTTGCTTTACGGGTTTTCCCTGTGTTAGAAAACACACTTAGGTTACCTCACCAGGCTATTGCCCTCTCCGAGGTCCGCGCACACGTAAATAACCCTTGGCGAAATCATGTGTCGGGTAATGGGTAAAGCACATAGATATTTCACAAATCCGAAAAAAACTCCAGTCAGCCCTGGACGGAATAGATCAATGGTGCAATAAATAGGGGTTTATCCTTTCAAGTGAAAAGACTGTTGGAGTACTATTCAAACGCAGGGGGAAGAATGCTATGATACCCCGTGTCTCCATAAAAGGCAAACCCAATCAAATTTTAAAAATTCGCAATATTTCTTGGTGTGATCCTTGATTAACACCTGACTTGGCGCAAACATATAGAATATGTGGAAATAACAATAACTGAAACTGTATAAAGGGAAATCTAGTGAAATGGTTTAGCAATCATCTACAAAACCGGAAACGGAGGGTAGTAACTCAAGGACTCCGATCCGACCTAAACCTGGTAAATGTAGGTGTGCCTCAGGGATCAGTGTTAGGACCACTGTTGTTTAAGTATGTATTAATGAAATCATTGAGGGGATCGAAAGCAATAAAGGTGTGGGGATGTGGAAATAAACCCCGGCCCACAGAAGCCAACTGAAAGTGAGCTCGCGGATATAATAAAGACTTGCAGCACGAAGTAAAAACTCTCAAAATTGACTAGGAAAACAAACGATCTGACAAGTAAAACTGAGGACACAGAAAATAGATCTCGCAGAAAAACTAGTGATTTATGGTATCCCCGAGAAGCAGGGTGGGGATAGAGAGACGTGGGGCGACTGTGAGAATGTGGTGAGAGAGGTGCTCGACGATAAGCTTGGTATACCAGGCGCTGATGATGATGAGAAAGTTTGGACAGAGAGAGCACCGTGAGTGGGAAAACGAAATGAAGAAGGGAAACCCGCCCAATTGTTGCAAAGATGACTCGAAATAAAACTAAACCTGATATCCTCAGATTAGCCAGAAGCAAACTGAAGGAAGCCACAATAAAAAAATAAGTGACGGTTTGAGTTTCCCTGTTAGCGAAAAGAGAAGAAAGCTTATCCCACATATGATAAAGGCCAGAGGGGATGGGAAGGAAGCGTCCATCTGGTTTGACAAGCTTGTGGTAAATAACACTACATATGAAGTGAACATGAACACTTGGAAAGTATCACAGCTTCGATAAGGATGTGGCCAGGGCCAGTCACAACAGGACAGAAGAGCTGCACATCCTACTATATCACACCTGATACAACACTTACAGATTTTCCCCTGGAACTGTCAATCTACAAAAAGACACTTTTCTGAAAATTATCATCATTCACTTTCATTGGACTATATGAAACATGGTTGTTTTCTCACTGACTACTCAGACTTTCACACTACTCATAATGTGTTTTTTTCTGTATGTAGAGACAAGGCTTAACATGGAGGGGTGGGTGTGTTTGTTCATAGATCTGTGAGAAGTGGTGTTAAGAGAATAATACCTCGTTATAAGGATGCAGTGTGTTTCATGCTTCATAAAGTCTTTTCCAGCCTAGAAGGAGATATGATTCTAGGATTTGTGTACATTTCCGCACAGAAATCCGTGTATTGCCATGACCAGGACAAGGACAGCCTCGATCTGCTAGATGATACTCTGTGTGATATCAGCTGTAAACATGATGCTCTGGTGATACCAGCTGTGGATTGTAACAGTAGAGCTGGAGAGGAAGATGACTTTAATACTGATGACAGTGCACATTATCTCCCAGTTGAGTACCCTGATTGCTATGGCAGTGATGGCTTTTCTTCTCCGCGCACACATAAAGACAAGGAAGTCAGCAATTTTGGAAGGCGATTGCTTCACATCTGCAAAACATACTCAATCCACATGTTAGATGGCAGGTACCTATCGGATGAAGATGGGGGGTATACGTTTGTAGCAAATGGAGGTGTCAGTGTTGTGGATTATTTCATTGCCAGTTCATCATTATTTTAACACATGAAACACTTTAGTGTATCAGAAATTGATACTTCAGATCATTTCCCTCTCGTGTGTGAACTTGACATACATTTGAAACACTGTGAATGATACAAGTGTTGATGAAATTTGATTATCATAAGTACGTCAGGGATAATATTCATGCAGCAAATTTCATCTCAATGTTACAAGATGAAACTTAAATCTTTGCTTAAGGTCAGATATATGTTGATATTGAGCAATCCGTCGTGTCCATATGCCAGTAGTATACGCGAATACAACAAGTACCTTCTTTTAACGTCGTTTGGTATGACGCGGCCGGGAATCGAACCCCAGACCGTCCGCTCTCCGGGCGGACGCTCTTCCTCTCGACCACAGAGGCGGTTTGAGATTGCAAAGAGTGAGAAGTACTCAGCACTTGACACATTTAGAAACAACCTTACACGTTATCAACGACATAGAGGATATTTCAAATCTTAATGTAATCATAAGTAAAGTGACTTCCAAGATTCAACAAAAGCTTAGTCTGATGCCATTACAAGTGATAGTGATGAATTGTGAAAGGAAATCGGGAAAATAGACACTTTAACGTTACAAGCAATATTTATTTCTAAGGAATGGTTTAACAACTTCAAACAACTTTTAACCTCGTCTCTGTCCACCTCTCTTATGGCAGCTACTGTACATCACGAGCTGCTACCACACGACACCGCGCCATGTCCGGAATATAATGTTGGACAACCCGATCAACTAAATTTACCTATCACAGAACAAGAGGTGACACAAGCAATTCGGAAACAACAGCAAAATAAAGCTCCCGGATTTGATGGCTTTCCAGCAGAACTATTTATAAAATCCCTCGATATTATTGTTCTAATATGTGTAACACTGCCCAACGAGATAATGAGGTCGGGTGTGTACCCCGAAACATTGTGCAGAGCGATTATATGTCCGCTTCACAAGATCAAGCTTAACAACCACAGAAGAATCTCTTTACTTCCGGCAATAGGCAAAATATCCATCAAAATCTTAAATGAAAGACTTTTAATATGGTCACACAAAAATAACATCATCTCTTAAAATCCGTTCGTTCAACAAGATATAGTATGTTTACGTTATATTGAATAGTGAGGAAATATTTTGTTTAATCGAAAGGAGGAAGATATTACAGTTTTTAATCGATTTTAGCAAAGTTTTTGATTGCGTAAATCACTCCTTCCTATGGCATTGTCTTCTGAAGTATGGAATTCATGGGAATTTTCGTGATATGTACTCTAAACTTAAATCATGTGTAAGGACTGAAAATTGTCTTACGGAGTATTCCAACTGTTGTGTTGGAACACGTCAAGGATGCATAATAAGCCCAACATTATTCACACTATTTATCAATGAAATTGTCACCGAAATGAATCAAGCAAATTGCAGAGGAATTTTCATTTCAGAAGAAGAGCCAAATGTTTGTTCGTTGCTATACGCGGATGGCGTCGCAAATTCAGCTAACAGTGAAGGGAGACCACAAGAGAAGTTTAACTGCCTCAGTGATGTTTGTATGAGATGGCGTATGGCTTTAAATGTCGAAAAATAAAAACAAAATCATAGTTTTCAGAAATGGAGGACCACTACGGCACTACGAAAAATGGCATTACAGGGGAAATCAATTAGAAACAGTCTCTTCTTACAAGAACCTGGTTTATTCTTCACGCCCAAACTAATCTGGACAAGAGCAACAACTAGCCTAGCACAACAAGCAGAAAAGGCATGTCTTCTGATATATAAAATCTCTCAACTTTCTGGAGGTGTACCTGGATATATAGCATCGAAAATAATGTTTGATACAATGATTCCACCAATTTTAACTTACGTTTCAGAATTATGGGGACTACAGTGCTGTGAACACGTAGAAAGGACACAAACTAAATGCAAGTGTTCAAACGAATATATCAGTTGCCAAACAACGCATGTAACGACGCCGTTCTAGGTGAATGTGGAAGACATAAACTGTATGTACATTATATCATCAAATGTATAAACTACTGGACTAAACTACTTGCTATGAAAACAAATCGATTACCTAAACAAACCTTTCTAATGCTGTATGTACTGGATGAACTTGTTCGAATATCTTGGGCTACTTACATCAAGAACATTATTTTCAAATACGGATTTGGATATGTAGGGATAATACAAGATGTTGGAAATTCAAAAATGTTTCCATCTCAACTTAAACAAAGAGTTCTGGAATGTGACTTTCAAGAATGGCACAGCAATATTTTTCTTAAATCTTAACTCCAAGCCTTTTCAACTTTTAAATCAGCTCTTGAACCGGAACTCTTCTTAAAATACATTGACTGTAAACCTTGTAATTATAAAGAAAGTGTGCCCCGTGATACATTGTTTTCAAAGTTTCAAATATCGTTTATCTCGAAACATTGCAGAGACTATGTACAAATCATTTATCTTACCAACTTTTGATTGTTGTAGTAATATATGGGATATTTCTACGATAGATCAGAGTCAAATATTTTACCTGGATGCTTTAAGGACAATTCGCAGATTTTCCAGGCACTAGTCCTGAAGAATAAGTGAAGAAACAAAGTATAAATCTCTCGGGAAAAGGCGAAACTATTTCCTATTTTGGAATGTTTTACTTATGGAACAACTAATCGCCAGATGCAGGTTCCATAGAATCTTTTAAATGAATTATTACAAACACGGCATTTTGACTTGGACTGCGGATCGAGAATATGTCAAATCCATCACTCGCGACTCAGACGAGGATGTAGTGACTTGAATCATACGTGCGATAGACACATCTCTGAAGACCTTTCTTGTTCCGGCGGTTCGATATGCAAGGCATCTGCTCATCATTTCTTCATATGTCCAAATTATAGTACCATAAGATTAAATTCACACTTTCTTTACCCGGGGATATAATCTCAATTCTGTACGTTATGGAAATTATCTTTCTGATGTCGCTCCCCCGTGCGCGTTTCCACTTTAAGTAATTACTCGCTGAGGGATAGTTCCAACTTACAAGTTACTAAATGCAGAACTGAAAACTATGCAAAAGCATTTATTCCCACTACCACTAACTTATGGAACAATTTACCTCCAGATTTGACCAATGCGGGTTCCAAAGAATCTTTCAAATTATTAATAGCACGACATTTTGACTTGGACAATGGATCGAGAATATGTTAAATCAATCACTCGCGATAGATTTTAAACTCACCTCCATCATATCCACTGGTATCTAAAAGTTACTTCTAACTTGACTGTATTTCCATTTTTGAGCGGTATTTATACAAGTCGCAAGATTTGTTTACCAATCCAGTATGTATATAATTTACAGAAATGAATATGTTGAACCATATCTGTTACCAATAACTCCAAAAGAGTACCCTTCTATTACGACCACCTACCCGTCATAATGCACCTCCAAACGGGATACTGATGAATATACATTGTCGCAATATATAAGTAAGAGTGTTTATGGTTAATGTTTGAAACCCCGAAGTCGGCCAAGTAACAATTCCACCATAAAGATTGCCGTGATCTTCACAGGTGAGGTGAAAAGGGGCTTAACGTCGCGTCCAAGATTATTGCACTGAGATGCCATGCCGCAGCAGCTTAATACCCCACTCAGACACAGGCCGCCCAGTCCTTGTTTTAGCCCCTTAATGCCGAGCGCCAGACAGGGTAACAACAAGTACCATCTTTAAACGTCTTTTGGTATGACGCGGCCGGGGATCGAACCCCGGACCTTCCGCTCTCCGGACGGACGCTCTACCACTAGACCACCCGATCTTAACAGACGAAGTCGGGTTAATTGGTACGAGTGTCAGGTTGGTCATGTGATGGTTACAGTAATCCCAAGGGACAGATTGGGCTGATATTGTGCAGAAGTAAAAGGGTTAAAGGTCGACTGGTCTGGTTGGTACGTCGCCAAACAAACTTGGATACACGACAACGAAGTATAGGTACAAAACGTGTACTCGGCTTCGCGACCAGGAGAGATGGTAAGTCAGCGTTATTCTTCCCAATAACAAATTCATTGATTTTGTAAGTGAACAAGATATCGTTTTATGACATGACATTATCTTAAAAAGGAGATTTTATTAATACGATGAAATGGGACAGAACGGATCGTACAGGTGTTAAGTCAACATAAGCGGTTGTAGTTCCTATAAGAGTGTTACAAATGGCTTCAGGTGCTCACGTTATTCTAAACCTCGGAACTGAGCGTTTATATTCAACGATTCATAAATTCCTCATTGTCGGACATGAATGCTTTAGAAGAAAAGAATGATAAACTGGCGCGCAGATTAGATTATGTGATCACCAACAAACAATGGCGTGATTTGAGATACTTCGTAGAGAGGCATTTAGTAGTTGGAGTGTTACGCCATATGACGACTGCCTTATGTCTTATGAATGAACAAACAAGTATATCTGAGTCGACCGTCACGACATGCCTGGTAGTCCTGGCTACAGCTCTGGTGAAGCATGACATGCCACAGCGTCAGATTGCAGCATGATACGATTACTGATTTAATGTAACAAAGGCGGTATTAATACAAGGGCCCTCAGCCAGACTCTATATCTAGCAGAAAACCAAATAAAACGCTACACAATCGTCATCATCACCAAGCTAATGGACGTAAGTTGCCTTTCCTCGGTTCGTAGCGGGTGCAGAAGAATATTAAGCAGGTTGGGATAGTTTTGTGGGTGTTTAAGCAAGTGTGACTATTGTGGGCTTTTTGAACGCTAGGACACCGCCGTATGGGCAGCTCGTCTTTTGTCTGTGGGTAAGGTGAAGGAGACTTGATGTTTATATCGTTTATAATACGGCTGATCTGTTTATAACATCACTTATTTTATTTTCAGGCGTATGTTGAAGGACTTACTCCTGGCGAGGCACAAGGTAGGTCCAACTCACACCAACAACTGGGGACCCGTGAGGATCCGGGGTAGAATAGTTCTTCAGGACCCATGCTTGCCGTAAAAGGCGACTATGCTTGTCTTAAGAGGCGACTAACGGGATCGGGTGGTCAGGCTCGCTGACTTGGTTGATGCATATCATCGATCCCAATTGCGTGGATCGATGCTCATGATATCAATCACTGGATGGTCTGGTCCAGACCCGATTATTTACAGACCGCCGTCATATAGCTGGAATATTGCTGAGTGCTGCGTTAAACAACAAACCAACCAGCCAACCAACCAACAACTGGGCACAATGCAGAAAGCGATCTTAGCCACAACGACCACCATCATTCATTGAATCGTTTATAATACGATATTGTGAATTCATAACCACCTTTATTCACTCTAAGGACCGCCAGCGGTGGTACATAAGCATAGCAATACAATTTATTAATACTTATCTACATAACATGTGATACAGTAAGATGACAAGCCCACAAACAAAGACTCTCTCTTCAACTTAAATGAGTATTCAGGATATACGTTTGGTGTTCAATAAATAGTTTGTAAAATTTAAAGATGTTTGGCCAATGGTAATAATATTTATTCATAAAAAAACTCGTTTACTGGATAGGGATTAACAACGGAACAGGTGGTGGAAAGAGTCACCACGAGTATGGTTTTACGCCATTTTTAGCAATATCCAAGCAATATTAAGGTGATGGCACCAGAAATGGGCTACACACATTGTACCCATGTGAGGAACCGAACCCAGGTCTTCGGCGTGACGAGCGAACGCTTTAACCACTAGGCTACCCGACTGCCAAGAGCATTTGTATCACATAGTGTGCATAAGCGGTCTTTACGAGGTAACTTCCCAATGTGCCTACAATCCCAATGTGCCTACAATCCCATTGTGCCTACAATCCCAATGTGCCTACGCTTTAAAACAACATGACATGGTCTGATGGTAAGGATGTTGTATAAAACTTTGCACCCAATTTACCCATAATAAATGAACTTGTCTATTGACCAAGGTGTAGGCAATCTTGAAAATGGATAAAATATAGAACAGTGTCATGGTCATTTTGTATGTTATTTTATTCATCTATCATATTAGTTTTTGGTATAAACTGATCAGTCAAATCATATCACAGAAATGCACAACTTGTGAATGGCAATATGAAATATTAAAAGTATTTAAATGTTTGGGTGGGCCTTGGCGATACGATTCTTGATTTTATTGTGCCATCCTTCCAAGTGATTGTTGGTTCTGCGACCAATGTTGTGATACTGTGTCCAGATTCGTACATAAAGTAAGACAGGGACAACAATTGCATCAAACACTTCTAAATTTCTGGCACGTTTTTAGTAGCCCTACGAATTAACGTTAAGATCGCTTTGTGGAACGGGGCCCTGCACGGCTTGTTGAAGATATCTAAGTCTACGTGTATTAAACTTTATGTGACCAGTCATGTCGGAATAATTAGAGATAAATAACCGTGATAACAACTGACTTAAATATGTGTGTTTGCAGAGATTAAGGATGCCTTCCACCTGTTTGATAAGAACGATGACAAGGTGATAAGCAAAGATGAGCTGGGATCAGTCCTCCGCGCTCTCGGTCAAAACCCCACACAGAAAAACATCGACTTCTATATGGAGCAAGCAGATACAGACGGTGGGTATATATATATCGCGAGGGAAAGTGATTGTTGTTTGTCATCATAGGTGATACGCTGGATCCCGCTTGATGTCTGGAAAGTATCAAATTGTACTTGAGGCATATGAGTGAGTGAGTGAGTGAGTGAGATGGGTTTAACGCTGCTTTGAACAGTATTCCGGTTATATCACGGCGTGTCAGGTTAATGTGGGAGGAAAGCCCGAAATGATGCAGGCCTCAGACGTTTGCCCCTTCAGTAAAACCCATGATCACGGATATGGTGCTGACACACCTAGAAACATATTCGGGGCGAACCGGGATTCGAACCCAAGATCATAGGTGTACATCGAATTGCGGCACCTTCGACGAGTAGGACCAGTGCCCACAAGAACACCTCGGAAAAACACGCCGAAAACCCGGGTTCGATTCCCGACATGGGTACATTGTATGAAGCCCATTTCTGGTGTCCCCCGCCGTGATATTGCTGGAAGATTGCTTTACAATTTGCTGTTTGTAGTGACTGCCGAAACTCACTATCGAATAAGTGTGTTGTAAAACAAAAGAAAAATAGTTGTCAATGTTAAAATGCACCCTGCCAAATATGACGTGAACTCTTCAAGTGCTGTAAAGTGTCAACTCGGTGCTTCATGTAATTGGAATATTTTGTGACCCAGCCTCGGGGAGTCTCAGCTACGACGAGTTCGTCAGGTTGGTGGAGAAAGACATCATATCGCAGCAAGAGGTGGAGGTGCAGCTCAAACAGGCGTTCCAGGTGTTTGACAAGGACAAAAATGAACTGCTGGATAAAACGGTAAGAGGGAAATACGCATAATCACACACTGTTGACGTATAAGAAAATACTTTATAAGGCCATCAAGATATCCACGGGCGGTTTATCCAAAGATTAAAGTACAATAGAGTACGCACTCGGGAGATAGATAGGTGTCTTCCCAGAGTGCCTACAGTCCCATTGTGCCAACAGTAAAATCATGAAGTAATACGGTCTGATGCTCAGAAAGCGATGCAGATTACTGTTACCCGGTTCACCTGTGATATGAGATAAACTTGTCCATACTGAGACAACGAAACAGTGTAGTGAGTGAGTGATTGAATATGGTTTTACGCCGCTTTTAGCAATATTCCACCAATATCACGGCGAGGGACACCAGAAATGGGCTTCACACATTGTACCCATGTCGGGAATCGAACCCGGGTCTTCGGCGTGACGAGCGAACGCTTTAACCACTAGGCTACCCGACCGCCCGAAACAGTGTAGGCACAATGGGAAACCGTAATAGAACCATAACACATAATGAAAGTCACGGATATATTATAATTTATAATAACACAGACGAAAAATATAACAATAGTTTTGACAATACTTTACATTGAATCAGTTAACCACAGTCAAATCATAGAAATGTAATGATTTTACTTCCGCGAACAATATGGTGATTAACTGCTCTGATGGTTCCGCCAATTAATAGTGTGATCGCCCGGCACGATCCGCGAAGTGTTATATTAAAATGCGGCCCGCGACTGTTAGCTCAGAACTAGGGATTTTACCTTTCTCGAAGCTTCGTTGCAGACGATCCCTTTTCCGGCAGCGCTCGGCCACGTGCACCTCGGCCTCGGCTGCCCGAACACTTCCGAGGGAAACCGAATGTCTCCTACGGAAGTAGAGATCGTCTCACACAACAGAAACTTACTGAAATCTCAAACAGTGGTGCACCGACCTTTGCACTCTGAATGCACACACACTTTCAGTGCGTTGCAACCCGACGTCACACGTTGAGCCGGTATCGGTAACCTCCATGGAACACTGGCTGGTCCCCTGTCTGGGATGTAATATACTCTGCTCGCTGAATATTTGCCATAATGAGATGATTCAGTGACTTGACAAAATCTAGTTTTATGCTTTTCAACGTGATGAGATTAAAATACAGGAAGTGATATATTGTAGGCACAATGTGATTGAACCGATAGATGCCTTGCAAATGGTCATCTTAATTAATTCAGTAGGTTTACTCTATTCTCCCAATGAAGGACAAGTAGTAGCCATGAAACGTCAAACAACTATAAGAAGTCCCCAAGTGCTTCGAGCGTCTAAATGTCCGTCAAACATTTGAAGGGTGGAGTGTTTTGAGGGAATGTCTCACTTTCTACTCTGTGTGTTCTCATTACATCATTATCTAACGCAGGAGCTCTTCCATGTCCTGACGAGCATGGGAGAAGTCTTGTCAGTGGAGGATGCAGAACAAATACTGCGATTAGTAGATCGAAATGGAGACGGCAAACTGAATGTTACAGGTAAATTTGACTTTGTGTTCCCTGAACTGTTCAGTTTGATTATACATGTACTTTCTCCATGATTTATTAAACTTAATATTTGCTTGAAATCGAACATTGTTTATTTATCAACTGAATCCCTTGTAACACATATCGATTTTTCTTAATTCAGAATTCACTAATTTTCTCTGCGAGCGGATCTAACGTCCCTCTATATTCGGATGCAGCAGTTGGTGTATAGAGGAACATCATTCTGGACTTCAGTACAGACTTTCCCAACATGACGATACCTGCATGACTGTAGAATACAGTGTGTGCTGGAAGATATAATGTGTGTTATAATGGACGTCACATCACGTACATCACTGTGTCGGTAGATCATTGTATATTTCACGCGAATATACACAAGCGAAGACCAGCGTAGATTGCTGTATACCTTCCCATGGACTATACAGCTGTCCGCTGTAGACATCAGTGGGAGCCGCTGTGGTGGACACTGTAGTGGACATTGTGTTCGTGGCTTCAAACAACCAGTACTGTTATTATTCGAACATTAAGATTTGGTGGAACTTCAAATCGTGTTTTGTTATATTTTGTTGTGAGTGAGTGAGTGAGTTAATGAGCGAGTGATTAACACCCTGTCACACACAAACACCGTGATTAACACACTGAGTGAGTGAGTGGGTGGGTTGGTGGGTGGGTGGGTGGGTGAGTGAGTGGGTGGGTTGGGTGGGTGGGTAGGTGAGTGAGTGAGTGAGTGAGTGAGTGAGTGAGTGAGAGTGAGTGAGTTAGTGGGTGGGTTGGTGAGTGAGTGAGTGAGTGAGTGAGTGAGGCTCTCCACGCTCTGGCATTTGTGTACCCCTTATACACAGACACCAGCCCCAACGGTCACTGAGATCTTGTGATCACAACATGGTCACCATAACATCACCCAGGACCAACATGTTGGTGACAGATCAGACAATAGGCCGATATCTGTGGAATAATCAACCATTGCACATTCGCCTAATACAGGAACTTGCAACCTTTAAGAATTAACTGAAAACACATCTTCTTGAGCAGGCCAATGAAGAGTAGAGACATGGTCGCTTTGTCTGTCACGTCATTATTCAGACTCAAAGCATCTTTGAGCAGTAGTTTACTGTACACTAGCGCTATTTATTTATTTATTTATTTATTTATTCATTCATGTTTTTATTTTTTTATTTTTTATTTTATTTATTTATTTATTTATTTATTTATTTATTTATTTATTTATTTATTTATTTATTTATTTATTATTTATTTATTTATTTATTTATTTATTTATTTATTTATGTCTGATTAACACCCTGTCACACATATACACAGTGACTAACACACTGTCACATATATAAGCATTGTTCTTTTACAAACTGACTCTGTGGGGTGAATATGTGATGGTGTGTTCCCACAGTAACCAGTGCTTGTCGTAAGAGGCAACTTAAATGAAGCAGATGGTGAATTCCGGTGACTTGCATGATTGTGTCCTATCTCACCCCGACGAGACGTACGTCGCTCATGATTTCAACCGCTTGTTTGTTTGGTCCAGACTTGATTATATAAGGCCCCCCCCCCCCCCCCCCCCCCCCTAGCTGGAATACTGCTGAGTCGCTTACACACCGTAACAATTCATAGTAAGGCAAATGTACTAATATACACTTGGAACGAAGATGACACGTTCACACAAACAAGACCCTTAGACGCTGATAGATATCAGAAATTAGTTATCATTGTATCTGAAAGCGTCAGAAACAGTAATCATATATCCATGGATATGGTAATCAGGTGCGTGCACAGTCGTACTGCGTGATTGCGTGCAGATGTTCCCCACCGTGGGTAACTGTATCTGACATGGCCGTGCTCCCATAGGTAACGCACAACACGAGCACGCGTCCCAACGTATTTGTCTCACAGGTTCAGGGTCGACTGTGGCTTGCAGCAGATGGACACGGTCGTTCAGGGTGCGAGCCGACAGTAAACCACTTCCAAAACGGTGTAAATCTTGAACATATAGCTGTGGACTCCGGGTTGGTTTGAATCCAGTTGTGACATATAAGGAGGGACTTGTCGGAGATCTAGATGTGACGAGCCGAGGGACCTATCTTGGACATGGATCTACTACTGAAGGAATTATCTTTTGAGTATCCAAAAGCTATCTTCAGTCAGAGGGACGCCTTCACGCAGACAGAACCAAGTAGGTCCTGATTATCTTGTCTGTACAAACACTGGTCTGAATCCATTCCACTACAAATGACGATTCCGTTCTTCATCAGTGATGCCGTTGATTGGGAATTGTTGTCATGGAAACATATATACTAACGTACGGGGGGATTGCATGCCATCGTACACTAACGGCACGGGCTCGTGGATACCAATCGCAGGCTTGTCTGGTCCAGACTTGGTTATTTGCAAACTGCCATCATATTGCTGAAATATTGCTGTAGCGCGGTGCTAAAGAGCAAACAAACAAATACAAATACAAACATTGATGAAGGTTCTCGGTAAGATTGGCGTCTTCGGATCAGATATTGGGGTCTTGGGAAGACGTGTAATAAAGAAGAGATATACATTGTGCAAAAAGATCTGACCTCTGTTTATTATATACAATGTATGGTCAAACACGAGGCTACTATGCATATTACAATGTAACAAACCAAGATGTAGCTTTTCTCATGTTTACACATTTTCGTGTGACAATACAACAGCACCGTTATGTGTATATCGCCACCCCAAATGTATGTATATTCCCATGGACAGATACCAGGGGTCACATGAGGTACAACACATGTAATCTCAGCCAGCGTATGCAGAAACCATGTCAGCATGATTTTGTCACCAATGCATTGCATTCAAGCATGTGAGAATCTTGAGATGGTTGCTGTGCGACAGTAGCCATCTTGGCGAGACAATACCTGACAGTAACGCACAAATGACAAGCCACACGCAAACACGCAAAAAGATAAAAAGATGAGTGTATCCTGTCCCACCCGTCACAAACACATGCAAAGGCAAGTCAAGTGTTCACCCAACAAAACACGAGAATATATGGCACAAGTAAAAATAGGGAACCGCTTCAGACATTTTCATTGATGCATCAAATTTGGATATATATATATAAGAGACCTTTATTTCCCCGTAATCCCCAAGAAGGGAAATAGTAGAGACCTATATGTTTCCCCGAATCCTCTAGGGCTTCTGTGACAAGCACTTAATGGTAAAGACATATATGTCCCCAAATCCCCAGGGCTTCTGTGACAAACACGTGGTAGCAGAGATATATATTTCCCCGGAATCCCAAGGGGATCCTGTGACAAGCATGAAATAGTACGTAGAAGCCTATATTTCCCGAAATCCCCAGGGGCTTCTGTGACAAGCACGTGGTAGTAGATACCTCTATTTCCCTGAATCCCCTTGGGCTCCTGTGACATGGACGTGGTAGTAGAGACCTATATTTCCCCAAATCCCCAGGGGTGTCTGTGACAAGCACGTGATGGTAGAGACATATATTTCTTTGGAATCCCCTTGATCTCCTGTGACAAGCACGTGGTAGTAGAGACCTATATTTCCCAGAATCCCCTTGGGCTCCTGTGACAAGCACGTGGTAGTAGAGACCTATATTTCCCAAAATCCCCTTGATCTCCTGTGACAAGCACGTGGTAGTAGAGGCCTATATTTCCCCGAATCCCCTTGGGCTCCTGTGACAAGCAAATGGGAGTACATACCTACATTTTATGGAATCCCTAGGTGCTTCTGTGACAAGCACGTGGTAGTAGAGACCTATATTTCCCGGAATCCCCTTTGGGCTCCTGGTGATTAGCACGTGATGGTAGAGACATACATTTCTTCGGAATCCCCTTGGGACCCTATGACAAGCATGAAATAGTACGTAGAGGCCTATATTTCCCGGAATCCCCATGAGCTTCTGTGACAAGCACGTGGTAGTAGATACCTATATTTCCCGGATTCCTCTTGGGCTCCTGTGACAAGCACGTGGTAGTAGAGACCTATATTTCCCGGAATCCCCTTGGGCTCCTGTGACAAGCACGTGGGAGTAGATACCTATATTTCCCCAAATCCCCTTGAGCTCCTGTGACATGGACGTGGTAGTAGAGATCTATATTTCCCGGAATCCCCAGGGACTCATGTGACAAGCACGTGGTAGTAGATACCTATATTTCCCGGAATCTCCTTGGGCTCCTGTGACAAGCACGTGGTAGTAGATACCTATATTTCCCGGAATCCCCTTGGGCTCCTGCGACAAGCATAAAATAGTACTTAGATACCAATATTTCCATGAATCTCCAGGACCTCTGAGGAAAACATTTGATCAAGATACCAATAGGTCTGCACATTGTATTCAGTGTATTGTTTGAAATTGAAACATATGTTTTAAGAATAAGCTAGCTTATATTAAAAGGTATTATTAGTTTGTTCGTGTCTATGTTCTACGAGAACCGGGATGGTGCTGACAAACCAAGATATATAATCACGGCGAATCAGAATTCGAACCCACAATAATAGGTTTTTGCCGTGCCCAAGGGACACAAGGGACACAACTCTCACAGCCACCTATGCCTCTTATTTGAGTTATTCGCATATCGTAGGATAGTTTAAGTCGGGAGGCAGAGTGAGTGAGTATGGTTTTACGCTGCTTTTAGCAATATTACAGCAATATCACGGCGGGGGACACCATAGATTGGAGGCAGAACGACGGACTAAGACCTGTAATGTACACTGTCTAAAACAGCGAACCTAAACACCCCCTACATATATATATATACTGTAATTATTTAGCACACTTACGTGCCACACTCCCACGAAAAGTGTATGCAATGAACTTTGTATTACATTGTAAGAATTTGAATGCATGACATAATAAAAATACAATACGCTTATAATCATAATATATACAATGTGGTCAAACAGGTGTGCAAATTTAAATCATCGTTTGGATATATAGTGAAAAATCCGTAAGACTTAAGAATAGCTTTATTTCGGGTATCGGAACAAAGCGTAAAGATAGCCTGCAGGTCAGTCAACCAGGCACAACGGAAAAACAAAAGCCATTGTGTAGCCCTTACGGAGTGTGTTATCACATCGGCTTGGATAAGCTCCCATTGAGGCCTGAGCGATCACTCGGGACCTCTCGGCTTGTTCCGCTAGACTGAAGAGCCGAATGCCCTTGCGTCCTTAGCAACGCCCCTATCGACTAAGATGAAAGATGGCGACGGCATATGGTAACTTCATTCTGTTTCTTGTTGGATAGAATCACGTTTGTGTTGAAGACCCTCTGAACGATGGATACAGAGACTGAAAATTCTATGTCTTTTTCAGAAAGTACGCGAAGAATAGACTTGTTATCGAGGGCCAAACCAGTACCTCCAGGTTTTTTAGAGGATAGGTAAGTTTTTCGAGTTTTTGAATGATTGTTGTCGATTTGTTTAGCAAAAATATAGGCCTACTATTAATGTCACAATATTAAATATTACTAATTGTTGCCCCCCACACCTACACACACGCTCACTCGAATTTGAGACATGTAAACTAGATATTTTAGGAGTGGTGTGGATTATAAATAACAAGATAATAGATAGTGGATGCTTATGTTATGATGATTTATCCAGGTGGCAGGTGGTTTCAATTTGATTTCCTTACCGAAATGGATACAATGGTGATACCTTGTTTCGGGTAGCATTGGGATTCAGGAGTGTTTTGGGCGACACTCGTCAAACCATTATTGACTTACCGGGTATAAATAAGCCTAGTTCACAAGATCCTGAAATTGTTTCTTTTTCTCTCTCTGAACATGCTTATATTTAGAAATACACAATAAGGGGAAGTTGTTTATCATACAATAAAACATTGCAGGGAGAATAAACCACTAGGGGTTTATTCTCCCAGCAGTATTTTATTGTACAAGGTTATATTAAAGAGGTTTTTGTTGATATATCTAATTCAAATCAGTTTGGTAGTTCTTTTTTATGTGTGAACTGAATTATATATATATATTTTTAAAAACATTGACTTGGTTGCTAACCATGCCCATTGTGTAGTTCCCATCCCTGCACTCTAGAAAGAAACCACTCAGCATTTAACTGTTGAACTTGCAAATTCGAATTCTAAAATAATGCTAAAAGTTTCTTCAACTCTTTAGAGTTACATCTGTTTCAGAAATCTGTTGTTATACTTTCATTATGTCATGGCATATGTATTGACTACCATTGTGTATTGCCATTGTGGCAGGGCGTGGAGTCATCCCACGGATGACATCCTTACCTTGTCAGCTTGCTGACGGGGTTAACCTCTTTGGTCATGTGGACAAGGTGTCTGACCTCTGATTAGAAGGTCCATGGTTCTAATCCCATCACAGGACATGGCTACACCATGATTACAATGCTGTTTCAACTGGCAGTAGAAATGCTCATGTATGAAAGAAACATTGCTGGTCTCATTTGAGAAATATTAGTAACACTGTTAATTTTTATTTTATAATGTGATTGTTCCCAGAGCTGTAGAGTAAGATAGTATTCTGTCAAGTTATATTTCTGATTGCAATAGAATGACACAATACACCTTTTATTGTGTGTTAAAATTGCCTGTGTTTGTTGCAGGCGTTCCGTGTACTGGGTAGACAATGACCCCCAGCAGCCGCAGGGACTGACCGAGGGAGGAACATCTAGGGTCACACTCTTCAGTGAGTGCATCCCTCATCTACCATCACCAGTCCGGCCTCCGTTCTTTTACTTCGAGCCAAATACGGGGCGGTCGGGTAGCCTAGTGGTTAAAGTGTTTGCTTGTCACGGCTAAGACCCGTGTTAGATTCCCGACATGGGTACAATGTGTGAAGCCCATTTCTGGTGTACCCCGCCGTGATATTGCTGGAATATTGCTAAAAGCGGCGAAAACCATACTCACTCCAGCCAAAAAAAATATTTGTGTTTCAGGCAAGCCATCGTTTCGTTTGTGTCCCAAATATGTTCATAACAGCTGTAAAAAATGGATGTTTCCCCATATTATTGTTGCTGTAGCTATTTTGACCATCAGATTGAGACATATTGGAACTAACTTAAGTTAAATATTATTAATACATGTACAAACATGAAATTATTATTAAAAAAATGCCAACTGACCCACTGATCTTGGGTCCATGTTGATTCTCCTTGTGAATTCCCAATGCATCAAATACAGTGCTGGCAGTACATAAATTCATGTATTTATTTTTAATAATGATTTTTGTGTTGTAGCAACCACCACACGGCTCGAGGAACTGGCTCGTCACAGGTCTGCGCATCATGAGTATAAGAAACACAGGTAAAATGATGCTTTGAATGACAATTAGGGGTGAGTAAGGGAAAAACTTTGGGTGTGGGTGATAAAGACCGGGGTGGAGTGGGAGACAGACCTTGGGTATGGGTGATATAGACCAGGGTGGAGTGGGAGACAGACCTTGGGTATGGGGGATATAGACCGGGGTGGAGTGGGAGACAGACCTTGGGTATGGGTGATATAGACCAGGGTGGAGTGGGAGACAGACCTTGGGTATGGGGGATATAGACCGGGGTGGAGTGGCAGACAGACCTTGGGTATTGGTGATATAGACCAGGGTGGAGTAGCAGACAGACCTTGGGTATTGGTGTTATAGACCAGGGTGGAGTAGCAGACAGACCTTGGGTATTGGTGATATAGACCGGGGTGGAGTGGGAGACAGACCTTGGGTATTGGTGTTATAGACCAGGGTGGAGTAGCAGACAGACCTTGGGTATTGGTGATATAGACCGGGGTGGAGTGGGAGACAGACCTTGGGTATTGGTGTTATAGACCAGGGTGGAGTAGCAGACAGACCTTGGGTATTGGTGATATAGACCGGGGTGGAGTGGGAGACAGACCTTGGGTATGGGTGATATAGACCAGGGTGGAGTGGGAGACAGACCTTGGGTATGGGGGATATAGACCAGGGTGGAGTGGGAGACAGACCTTGGGTATGGGGGATATAGACCGGGGTGGAGTGGCAGACAGACCTTGGGTATTGGTGTTATAGACCAGGGTGGAGTGGGAGACAGACCTTGGGTATTGGTGATATAGACTGGGGTGGTGTGGGAGACAGACCTTGGGTATGGGTGATATAGACCTGGGTGGAGTTGGAGACAGACCTTGGGTGTGGGTGATATAGACCGGGGTGGAGTGGGAGACAGACCTTGGGTGTGGGTGATATAGACCAGGGTGGAGTAGCAGACAGACCCTAGGTGTGGGTGATATAGACCAGGGTGGAGTAGCAGACAGACCTTAGGTGTGGGTGATATAGACCGGGGTGGAGTAGCAGACAGACCCTGGGTAGGGTGATATAGACCTGGGTGGAGTAGCAGACAGACCTTGGGTGTGGGTGATATAGACCGGGGTGGATTAGCAGACAGACCTTGGGTATTGGTGTTATAGACCAGGGTGGAGTGGGAGACAGACCTTGGGTATGGGTGTTATAGACCAGGGTGGAGTTGGAGACAGACCTTGGGTGTGGGTGATATAGACCGGGGTGGAGTAGGAGACCTTGGGTATGGGTGTTATAGACCAGGGTGGAGAGGGAGACAGACCTTGGGTATGGATGATATAGACTGGGGTGGAGTAGCAGACAGACCTTGGGTGTGGATGATATAGACCTGGGTGGAGTAGCAGACAGACCTTGGGTGTGGGTGATATAGACCTGGGTGGAGTAGCAGACAGACCTTGGGTGTGGATGATATAGACCGGAATGGAGTAGCAGACAGACCTTGGGTATGGGTGATATAGACCTGGGTGGAGTAGCAGACAGACCTTGGGTATTGGTGATATAGACCGGGGTGGAGTGGGAGACAGACCTTGGGTGTGGGTGTTATAGACCAGGGTGGAGAGGGAGACAGACCTTGGGTATGGGGGATATAGACCGGGGTGGGGTGGGAGACAGACCTTGGGTGTGGATGATATAGACCGGGGTGGAGTAGCAGACAGACCTTGGGTGTGGGTGATATAGACCAGGGTGGAGTGGGAGACAGACCTTGGGTGTGGATGATATAGACTGGGGTGGAGTGGGAGACAGACCTTGGGTGTGGGTGATATAGACGGGGGTGGAGTAGCAGACAGACCTTGGGTGTGGGTGATATAGACCTGGGTGGAGTAGCAGACAGACCTTGGGTGTGGGTGATATAGACCAGGGTGGAGTAGCAGACAGACCCTGGGTATGGGTGATATAGACCTGGGTGGAGTAGCAGACAGACCTTGGGTGTGGGTGATATAGACCAGGGTGGAGTAGCAGACAGACCTTGGGTATGGGTGATATAGACCAGGGTGGAGTAGCAGACAGACCTTGGGTGTGGGTGATATAGACCTGGGTGGAGTGGGAGACAGACCTTGGGTGTGGGTGATATAGACCTGGGTGGAGTAGCAGACAGACCTTGGGTATGGGTGATATAGACCAGGGTGGAGTAGCAGACAGACCTTGGGTGTGGGTGATATAGACCGGGGTGGAGTGGGAGACAGACCTTGGGTGTGGATGATATAGACTGGGGTGGAGTGGGAGACAGACCTTGGGTGTGGGTGATATAGACGGGGGTGGAGTAGCAGACAGACCTTGGGTGTGGGTGATATAGACCAGGGTGGAGTAGCAGACAGACCTTGGGTGTAGGTGATATAGACCTGGGTGGAGTAGCAGACAGACCTTGGGTATGGGTGATATAGACCAGGGTGGAGTAGCAGACAGACCTTGGGTGTGGGTGATATAGACCTGGGTGGAGTAGCAGACAGACCTTGGGTGTGGGTGATATAGACCTGGGTGGAGAAGGAGAGAAACCTTGGGTATGGGTGATATAGATATAGACTGGGCTGGAGTAGGCGAGAACCCTTGGGTAAGGGGGATTTCAAGAGCCTTTTTTAATGAGTGATCAAGTTAGGTTTAACACTGCTTTGAACAGTGTATTTTTCATTAAGATTTTTCCCAAGAAGTTGAAAAAATCATTTTTATACATTTTGATCAAAGTAAAGAAAATAAATATGTTTGCAGTAACGTTAAGTTTTCGAGATGACAGAAAAGGGTCTGATAATACCTCATCCTTTAACAAAACAAATGAATCAAGTAGTTTTCTAAGAAAGAGTTTACAGGCGAATAAAGATGAAAACAATGGACACACAAGCAAATAACAAACTTCCTGGAACCTATGTCCAGGTAATCTGATTCCACATTATTTAGTAATACTTGTTGTAGACCCACTCCAATATGGCCTGTGAAGAAGTCGGCTTTAGATGCCACTCCAACGGAGCGGCTTGAGGTCTTGAGTCTTGCGAAGGGACTCCATGATGAGTTCAAGATAGAGAGATCTCCATACTCAGTGGTAACCAAGGCGGCACGCAGTGTGTCCGCATCAGAACGCCTTCAGTCACTTGCCGTCCCCAAAAACAGGGAAGACCGATATTGTGTCAATGACTACGAGTGGGGTCAACCCAGCGAGGTCTCTCCAGCAGCCAAAACGGCCAGTGCCTCGGCAAGGGTGGAGACGCTAGCAGAAGCTAAGGGCTATCACGACAACTTCAAGGGAGAGAACCCTGTCCAGTGGCCAGTATCGGATCAGGCTCTGAAGGCTATAGCATCCCTGCGTCTTCAGCAGCTGGCGCGGCCACGGAGTCGTACGATGATCAAAGACGACTATGATCCATACAAGGTCACTCTTGCTGCCAAGAAGGCTAGAGCAACACCGAGGCTGGAGGAGCTGTGTGCCCCAATACCTCGCAAGGTGCGGCAGAAGAAGACGGTTGCAGTTGGTTAGTGAAGAACAGGACAGTGTTATGTATTCATGTCAGTATTACTCATTTGTTTTAAGCAGTATTATACAGTTTGGCAAGCTTCTGATCAGTATTACATTGAATCTTCTTGTTGCAAAGATTTGTTTATGTCAATATGCTGTAACAACAAATCTCAGGTTGCACAGCATTTTGTGTTCTGAAATCAAAATGTTTATAATATTGATGAGTGTGTTATAATAAAGCTGTGTAGTGATATATAATTTACATGACTGATAGTCATAATCATCATAATCATACAGTTTAGACATTTTTCAATGCTGTACCAACTGTTTCTGAGGTCGTACATGTGAAAAGGATTTTTTCAATATGGAAAAAAAGAATTGGATGGACAGCAGGGGCATTTTCATCAGTATGTATATATGTATATACTGTATTTGAATTTAGAGTATTGCAAGGTAGTACAGTAGAACACGGATATAACGAACTACAAGGGACCAGAGAAATCAGTTCGTTATCTCCGTTATCTGTCTCAATACACGTAATTGCAGTGTTACACGTGAAATCTTCATGGCCTAATTTCCGGGCGAGTGAACTGACACTTGGACACAATCTCGTAAAATTTATATGTTTAATGTTTGTTGTACAGACAAGATTACATGTACAGGTAAGATTAACACAATGCAAATTTAACACGATTGATCCGTCACCGCTGATTGTATTGATTCGCCGCTGATTGCGTAAAGCCAATTGTCAGTGACACTTGACACTGAGTGAGATTTCTCAGTTCGCTATACACGTCACTAATTAGTGATAGATGGGCTTGTCGGTGATCAGATATCAGTTCGCTGTATCCGTTAGTTCGCTGTAGAGAGTTCGTTATATACGTAAATTTTATAGGATATTATATAGGAGATAAATCGGGGATTTTTTAACAGTTCGTTGTATCCGTTTGTTCGCTATATCCGTGTTCGTTATATACGTGTTCTACTGTATTCACAAATGGTATGTGTCTGGATAACAATCATTTATCCAGTATGACAGGATAACAAGGGTTAAGGACCAAAGCAGGCTTGTATTATGATGTGTATCATCATATGAAAATATATTTATTTTTAAATTTACAATATTTATCCTCTTAGGATCATAAGCTGTCTCATGCATCATTCATATATTATATGGTGATGTATCAATGTCTGAAGCTGTTGCTGAATCTGTCATGTCTAACAGGTACAGAACTGCGAAGCCGGTCACTCCAGTATTAAACAGTTTACATATTTCTTTACACATGCTATTTGCTTTATAAAGGTTTTCATATTGTGTATGTTCGAGTGAAGTTTGCCAGTATTTATTATACAGATTACAGTATTATTCTATGTCTTTCACCAGTGTTTTTTATTGCACAAGTGTTCAGTGGAATGTCCATGTTGAGACTTTTTTGGCGCATATTCATTTTTTGTAATAAAAGATTGGAGCAGTGTAGTTTTGTGATTGTTGCAGTTTGTTGGAGTGAACTGACAGTGTGTGGGTCAGTGTTGTTCACTTTAGTCAGCAGTAGTCCAGCTGTGGCATAGCAGCCTGGGCCACGTTCATCAGTCATCGACCATGTCATCCTCTATATCTCCAGGTTTTGCATTTCAGTAAACCTTCACTAACCCCTGGATCCATTCCCATGGTTCTTGTGATCTCAAATTACCCGCCCTTGATCTTCATTATCAAATTTGATTTGCTACACTTCTCTGTCAAATGGACCAATCAGAATGCGAGTTACAAACTAGCCTCAATGTTGGATTGGCGATCAACAACGTGGCAGCCAGGTCCCTCGATGTCTTCATGTCCCCCTCTCTAACCCATGTTCTTTTGGTCTCGATTGGTCGGTGAATGTTAATGAAAATCAAGGGCGGGTAATTTAAGATTGTGAGGGTTATTGAAGGTTTACCAAAATGCGAGCCCTGGAGATATAATGGATGTGACCATGTTCACAGCACAAGCAAATAGCAATGCTGTATGGGTGTGATGTCTCCCAGTCTATCAGATAAAAGTATCCCTTTCAAAAGTGGAGTAGTATTTATCAATATATCATATCAGTTTGAAAAATGTCCATCCAATCAATGATAACCCTAAAGACATGTGTCAAATTTTCTTCTATTGTATCATGTATTATGCTGCGACGTTGTTGTCGAGACGTGTTTTGTGTGTATCACAGCATGCCATCTACAAAGTGAGTCATGAACACTGCTCTGTATACATGATACACAGGAAGCAGTCTGTTGAATCAACACAGTAACACCTATATCGTCACTTGCATATCATATATATGTGCATACACCTTACCATGGCTTACCACTAATCATTTCTCCAATCAGCTGTTTGGACAGTGGTTCTAATCTTGGCCTACAGATAATATCCTAAGTGACTTAGTCCCAGGCGTATGATGCTAAAATGTACTGGAACCTCTAATAATGTCTACTGCCAAATTGAGTTTGGAATCTGCTTCCTCTACAGCTTGTAAGTCTTTGTTTACACAACGTCATCAAAATCAGATCTTTTTTTCCCAATGACACTTCTCCACATGAAGATAGGAGTAAGCCTCAATAGGTCGCTTCAGATGAGCTTTCTGATCGGCCAGTCAGCGCTGAGTGAGTGAGTTGGGTAACGCCGCTTTTAACATAATTCATGTTATATCCCGGCGTGTAAGCTTAATGTGGGAGGAAAGTCTGAAGTGATGCAGGTCTCAGACGTTTACCACTTCAGTGAAACCCATGAGCACGGGGATGGTGCTGACAAACCTAGAAACATAATCGGGGCAACCGGTATTCGAACCCACAATCATAGGTTTCTGGCGTGGCCAAGGGATGCAACTCTGTACAGTGAATCATGACGACCCATGCCCCAGTCAGTGCTGAGACTTCTAAATTCTCAGCATAAATGTGCAAAGTGTTCAGACAAGAATATCTGACTTCTGTAACTTGAAACGAACTTGAATGTACGCTATGATTAAGGCCACGATCATCCCTGATCATGTTCCCGAGGTAACTAGCCTTATTATCAAAATCTTGTTTACACCCTTGCCACATCAAGTCCACTTTCTTGTGCTCAATATGACTGGACAATCGCACATATCCATAGTCCAATCACAGAAGATTTCACAAAATCAACCGCTGCCTGTCTTTGTTGACATGAATATGTCTTTTTCATCTTTTAAACATCTCCAACGATTGCCTGTTTTTGTATCAGGGATGAAATCGCGAATGTTTTCGTTATCTGATCAACTAGGTCGTCACTTATGGTAATTGCCATCTTTGTGAAAAGCTATACAAGATAAGAACAGCGATCTGATTGGATATCACATTTAATTACAAGGGGCACAACTCATGATGGTGCCAGGGTCGAGACAATAAAATTGGCCTTGATGTGGCAAGGGTAGAAACTAGGCTTTTGATGCTCCATGGTACTGTTGTAGATATTCTATACACCCTGTTATTTCTGACCTCCATGGCATCTACACCCAAAAGGGAGTACGCCACTCTCAGCAATATTGCAGCTATATGATGGCGGCCTGTCAATAATCAAACCTGGACCAGACAATCCAACAATCATCATTGTGGGCAACAATCCATGTCTTCAGAGCACGATTACACACTATCAGCCAAGTCACCAAGCCTGACCTCCCGATCCATTTGGCTGCCTTTTAGACCAGTATAGGTTGCTGGGGACCTATTCTCACCCGGGATTCCTTTGGCATTAGGAGACATATAGTTTATGTCAAAGAATTGGAGTTCGAGGCTCAATTTCAAGCAGAATCCTTCAAATAAATTGCATGTCTGTTATACTTGTACACATAAACAATCTGCCCACAATGTCTTCTGATGCATCATACAGGTCATATGCGGTTTAACGCTGTGTTCAAGATTATTGCACTTATATCATGTATATAGCCACACGTGTGTGTGTGTCTGTGTGTCTGTCTGTCTGTCTGTGTGTCTGTCTGTCTGTCTGTCTGATTGTACCAGTCCAGACTAATGCTGGAAGTATCGTTCCAGGCAACTGGGGTACCATGCCGCAGATTAACATGAATACCCAACTCACACACAGTATACTGACTCCGAGCTGACCAGTCATTATTTAATCCCCATAATGCAGAGCGTCAGCAGGGTAACAACAAGTACCATTTTTAAATGTCTTGGTATGACATAGATGGGATCAAATCAACGACCTCCTTCTCTCCGTGCAGTGCTCTATCCACTAGACCACAGAGTAGGTCCATGCATCAAGGAAACAAGACTGAGGTTTATAGCTTGTATTCACGTAATACATTAAAACTGTATCAGAAATAAGATTCATATGACCATGGATGTATGAGATCTTTATGGCCCAGTGTTATTTTCAATGTTATTGATCAACACAGCTGAGGTTTTTGTCTTTGCATCTATATAGGACTGACGCCCATCCCAGTGAATATTGTATGCTGGCTACCACCTTGTTTTTCCTAAAGTCAACACACACTTTCATGCTGGCTGTATAGTAGGCAGTGTTGTCAGGACAGACATCATTGATGTACCGTCCTGTTGCCATCTGACATGGATGCCCTAGTGTCCTTGAGATGACAGCCATACTACATCACTGCTGTCCTTCAATGTCCTAGTCAACTGACAACACCGTTGTCCAAACTGTCCTAGATGACTGACAACATGGTTGTCACAACTGTCCTAGATGACTGACAACATGGTTGTCCCAGCTGTCCTAGATGACTGACAACATGGTTGTCCCAACTGTCTTAGATGACAAGATGGTTGTCCCAACTGTCCTAGATGACTGACAACACGGTTGTCCCAACTGTCCTAGATGACTGACAACACGGTTGTCCCAGCTGTCCTAGATGACTGACAACATGGTTGTCCCAACTCTCCTAGATGACCGACAAGATGGTTGTCCCAACTCTCCTAGATGACCGACAAGATGGTTGTCCCAACTCTCCTAGATGACTGACAAGATGGTTGTCCCAACTGTCCTAGATGACTGACAAGATGGTTGTCCCAATTCTAGATGACTGACAACATGGTTGTCCCAACTCTCCTAGATGACTGACAAGATGGTTGTCCCAACTCTCCTAGATGACTGACAAGATGGTTGTCCCAACTCTCCTAGATGACAAGATGGTTGTCCCAACTGTCCTAGATGACTGACAACACGGTTGTCCCAACTGTCCTAGATGACTGACAACACGGTTGTCCCAGCTGTCCTAGATGACTGACAACATGGTTGTCCCAACTCTCCTAGATGACTGACAAGATGGTTGTCCCAACTCTCCTAGATGACTGACAAGATGGTTGTCCCAACTCTCCTAGATGACTGACAAGATGGTTGTCCCAACTCTCCTAGATGACTGACAAGATGGTTGTCCCCACTGTCCAAGATGACCGACAAGATGGTTGTCCCAATTGTCCTAGATGACCGACAAGATGGTTGTCCCAATTCTCCTAGATGACAAGATGGTTGTCCCAACTGTCGTTGATGACCGACAACATGGTTGTCCCAACTGTCCTAGATGACTGACAACATGGTTGTCCCAATTCTCCTAGATGACAAGATGGTTGTCCCAACTGTCCTAGATGACTGACAACATGGTTGTCCCACTACCCTGTTGATAGAAAAAGTCAATACCCCAGTGTTGTGGACATATTTCATCTATGGCCCACTATCCTCGTTGACATATATCATGGTTGTCCTACTGTCCCACATAAAACAGCGTCTCAAAGTCCAGTGAACAGCTTCTATTACACAGTTTATCCATACAGGAACAGTTTTGGATCTTGTGAACGTAGCAGAAGTTCATGTTTGTCCCGAATTTGTCATGGAGACAGCTATTTCAAGAACACAGCAGACAACACAGCCTTGTTAAGCAGGTTCCACTGTACCCCTGGGTGGGTCACAAATTGGTTCCACTGTACCCCTGGGTGGGGGTCATAAGTTGGTTCCAGCAGCCTGCAGCACGTTGTGCTTGGAAAAGTGGAGGTATATCACAGACACCGACTTGGTGGGGAAGGCACTGAGAAGCTCAGGTGAGGCGCTGGACTCAGGGCTAGAACGCAAAGGACAAAGGTTATCCGAGAAATAACACCTAATATCTCAAATGCATGCCAAGACAGACTGACCATTATCTTTTCATCAGTATCATACATACCCTGTAGCACTGACTTCTAGTCAACAGGGAAGGAGCTCTACATGCATTGTTACCATCGTCACACGTCTACAGGTGAAAACATTTAGTCATATCAGTGAGTGAGTTTGATTTTACGCCGCTTTTAGCATTATTTCAGCAATATCATGGCGGGGGACACCAGAAATGGGCTTCACACATTGTACCCATGTCGGGAATCGAACCCGGGTCTTCGGCGTGACGAGCGAACGCTTTAACCACTAGGCTACCCGACCGCCCCTTTAGTCATATCAACATGATCAATGCTCAGTTGTCATTATAGGGTGGGGTTGTGGTGAGTTTCCTGAAGAAATTACACAGTAAAAGAGGTGGGGTTCACAACATGGGGTGAGAGGGCGTGTCTCATAAAAATCCAATGACACCATTCTACTTTTCAAATATTTGTGATCATTATTCAGGGACTGGTCATAGTCATAATATAGTGTGATGGGAGGGGGGCCATGAAAGAATTTTACCTAAAATGGGGGGAGGGGGGAAGCAAAAACATTGTAAGACCAATCTCACAGCCATCTATAATAAAGGACCAGGAAATATGGAAAGGAGGAGTGTATACCTTTCTTCAGGTACATTACCGGGGTATATGCTGACTACAATCACGGCCTTGCATGACAGTACTCACTTGTCCTTGTCTACGGTCTTCCCGACGTCCCACACCCAGATACAGGAGTCCAGGCCCCCGGAGGCCAACAATGAGCTGTTGCGGCTGAAGCAGAGGGAGTAGACAGTGTCGGAGTGCCCGCGCAGCTCCTTGTACAGATGGCCGGTGCTCAGGTCCCACACACGGATCCGACGATCTTCACCTACAACATTTACAACGTACCTATATCAGTCCATGTCTCTTCATGATGTTTTACCATTACTGTTATAAGCAGGGACAAAATATCAAAATGATACACAAAATTCAATTACAAGAAATCAATTACAGATTAACATGTGAGGAATTGTGGATGTTTTTCCAAAGTAAATGAATACTGTAAGATTTGAGTTTTGAGTAGGATGCTCTTCGGCTATCTCTTGGCACAAAAATAAACATAATTCACATAATCCAAAATCATATTATTTGGGGTAATTATTAGCATGATTAGTAAACTACACCTCTAGAATATAACAAATAGCTTTATTCTCCTGTATAGGGGGCTCTACAAGAATAAACATTTTGGGTGTGGAACAGGAGTCAGTGGTTTGTTGATAGTTACCGTATTCGACGTAATAAGCAACCCACTCTAATAAGCGCCCACGGCGACATTTGCTAAGATATTGGCTAGTGAACAATCCCAATTAGCACCCCTTCCGATTGATCAATGTACACAAGACTTATTTATTCGCGTATGATACACACTTGTGTGTTATATGCACCCTCAATTATTGGCATTTAATTCTGGAAAAATATATCTGTCGTACATAAACATTCCAGGCTGTTAGCATAAACCACGAAATTTATCTTTCATCTCTGTTTTTTTCACCAAAATAACATTCTAATAAGAGCCCCCTATTTCTTATTTTGAGACCACCCTGGGCGCTTATTACATCGAATACGGTACTTCCATTTGTGCTTTTGCTCAGGAAACTACAAATGCCATCTTTAGTCTTCATTATTTTCTGCCTCCAGAACAAACAATAACTGTGTACCACACTTCATGTACCACACTTCATGTATCATACTTCATGTACCACACTTCATGTACCACACTTCACGTACCACACTTCACGTACCACACTTCAGTACCACACTTCATGTACCACACTTCATGTACCACACTTCATGTACCACACTTCATGTACCACACTAACGGCTGATGGTATGATAACTTCCAATCAAATTTTAACCAATATTGATGAATATAGCAATTATTGATAGGGGATTCCAATAAACCTCCTCAACCATGTCAACTAGACTCCAGAAGAAAATCATAGTCGGGATCACCTGATAACCACAGGGAGTCTGTCATCTTCAACAATACCACCTTGCAGGATTACCATGAACTAGGACCACAAGGTTCTATTCCAACCAATTCCGAATGGAGGTAGGGATAATACCAGTTCAAAAACATTCCAGAAACAACAAACAAGTTAAAATGTTCACTTTTGAGTAGCCATATTCCGCACCTAATCCTGTATCAAGGGATGAAATATCATGCTTAGATTTGTATAAGTAAACAGCCAACAGGGTGTGTGGATTACCACGAAAATAGAGAGTCCAAGTATATACATGATTGAGATCGAACCAAGATACCTTGACCCCAGTAAGTCTTAACCCAACTTTTATTAATGGGTGTGACAATAAACACCCTGATTATTAAACAAAAGCTAATAAACAGATTAGGAGCCAATAGAACCAGAAAGGATTACCATAATCAACTGGATCTGATCCTTAATTCCCAACTAAGAAGTAATCATCCAGATCATCATCCACAACTTATAACAACGATCCTCATTACCCGAGTGTTGGATCACACTCTCGCCAGGTACTTGTCAGCCAAGGTCTTACCAAGCTGCCCTTTCTCTTCCATATCTTGCCAGTAACTCTCTTGACAAAGAATATCAGCAATCATTGGAACCAAGGCTTTTCCTTGAACCCGTTGTTAGTTATCCATTTACTGACCTTGGTCTAGTGGGAGTCATAGATGCCTGAGGTAGATTCCCTGTGAGTTCTAACCACAGCCTGTGAAGAGTGTCTGCCAAAATGTTCATTTTGCTTGGAATGTGTTGGGCCTGAATCCTGATATTCAATCTGCCCACAAAATCAATGAGGTAACAAGTCTCCAGCATCAACTGGTAAGATCTGGTGCCTCCGTGCACGATGATGTTAGATGCTACTATCATATTGATGTCTCTTAGGATCCGTACCTTCAAGATACCGTATTTCGAACACTCCAACACACACATCAAGATCTGTGTACAGTTGGAATTGACATGACGTTGGACTGAAGGGTGCTCCCCCCAGGCCATGCTCCTGACGTACCTGTGAAGGAGAGTCTCTTTATTGTGTAGCCGATCTGGATTGGCATCTGAAGCATGGAAGGCCTCCAGGGCTATGATATTGTCTTTGAAACATGCTTCCTATAAACTGGTAAGTTTTTAATGAAATCTCAGGAAGAACTAACATGACTACGACCACCCTGCAGGCTTGGGTCCTCTGTGACATCCAAGCACTAAGACATCTCATCATGTCGCATCTGCCGTACTTGATCCCTGCTATCAGCCGAGTTTCATTGTGTAATAAACTGTGTGAGGTATCTGCAAACCCAAACCTGAGTCCTAAGAAGAAAATTCCTTCAATCTGGTAGCCGAAGCCTGTCTTGTTCTTTGTATGCAGGAAAGCCAAGTAGAATCTGAGCCTGGGTCCAGAATAGCCATTGGATTCACCTCCTGCACCTGTTAAGTAGCTAGATTCACCCCAAGTCCAGTAAGATCCATCGGAGCCACAGCAACAGTACAAAATCAGCCGCCAGGTGCGGCATTGGTTTCAGGAGTGGAGACTCCGTGCAGCTGGGAGCCTGATTTAGCCTTCACTAAATCAGCAACGGGAAGATCTCCGTAAAGCTTGCCTCTCAAATCAAGACCACAGGTAATGTCTATGCACTTCGGACAGACCAGTGCCAGAATAGGCGTTTAGGAGGTTCCCAAAACACATGTAGCCGTGTTGGCTCGAGAGAAAATAATGAGAAGATGGTGGACATAGTTTCCCAAGCAAGAACGCAAGGGAGGTATCACTATCAAGAAACACAGACTTATGTACCATACTCAAGTAAGTCCATGACAGGAGAACAAGGCTCTTTTTTATTCTACACTTATGTATGATCTGTCACTCTAACAAAGAAAAGACAATAAATTGTCTGAAAACAATGTATGTCACACTGTCTTCAACACATGTTTAAGTGAATTGAGTACACTTGTACTTAGTACAGACTGAGGTTATATACTTAATTTATTAATATTTAACTTATTAAGCTGCTTCCCATAATGTTAAAGCAGTCAATTTATGGTTCAATATTACACTATTATTATCATGGCTTTCTGAAAATGAACTGGGAATGATATGATATACTGATGTTTGCTGCCTACCTGCTGATGCTAACAGCTTTCCATCTGGTGAGAAAGCAAGGGACATAACTGAGCCCCGGTGACCTTGAAACAAGCGGACAGTACGGCCACTTTGTATGCTCCACAATCGGACAGTCTTGTCTCCAGATCCAGTTGCAAGGTAGTTGCCATTTGGGTGGAACTTGACACACTGAAACAGCATGAAGAAGACAACTGAAACACCATCAAAGTTCCCTGAAAGATCTGGATAGGAGGTCACACTCCATTAACACCCCAGGGCAGAACTGGGTTACACAGTAAGTGTGTGCACAGCCATATGAACAATGCCATATCAACACCTTGCAAAAATTTGAACTGTTTATATCAAGAAACACATTCATTTTCCTACATCCAACAGTATTCCTTTTTGTTTTATTTCAGTGAGTGGTTACCATGGTACATGTATAACTGAAAACAGCTAGAAGCCATGATTAGAAGCTCATTGTATCAGTCAATGTTGAAAATAAACAGAAAAGTATCAAATCTAACTACACATCATCTAATTACTTTGTTCTTACAAGCACACAATGGTTTACGTGTAAAGTGCCTGATAGAAAGTGAGTATTCCCGGTCAACATTTCACACACATGACCAAACCAAAGATATGTCATCCCACGTAATACTGACATTGTACATGTACTCACATCTACATCAAATGTATGGCCAATGAACGATCGGAGGGGATATGTCCTTTCTGTGCACCACAGCTTGGCTGTACGATCCTGAGAGCTGCTGGCAAAGTAGCCCGCAGTAGCACTGGAGTGAGAATTATGTCTAAATCAATGACAGTTCTATGCAATTTTATAATATTACAGCTACATAACAGCAGGGAATATCAAAATCATTGCCTCAGCTTCTGATAGGGACTTGGTTTTTGGCCCTGGAAAAATGAGAAGGTGATTCTGAATTATATAGGTCATCTAGCCCTGTGTCTTAAACCTAGCCCATCATTGTCCCTTGACCAATCAGTTTTAACATCAATTTAAAGCTCTGTACTTTCATTAACAAAATTTAAATTTGTTTTACAAACATCTCTAGTTATCATAGTGGGATAAAGCCAAGAAGATTGATTTTGATATTTCACTGTACCTGTCACCTCAAATACAAGCCAATTTGATTATCATAATCAGATATATAATTCAGACAATTATGTTGAAGCATATTGCCAGATTACTACATGTCTGCCCCACATGTTGCCGTTAATCATGGTGGAGTCCCTCCTCACCTAGCATCGATGTCCCACACGGGGTAGTTGTGTCCCTGGTAGCACACCCTGTTGGTGTGTGTCCTCACATCCCACAGCCGCACTGCATAACAAAAAACAGCCAGTATGATACACCAGTGTCTACCTGTATGGTACACCAGCGTCTACCTGTATGGCACACCAGTGTTTACCTGTATGATACACCTGTGTCTAACTGTATGCCACACCTGTGTCTTCCTGTATGGCACACCTGTGTCTTCCTGTATGGCACACCTGTGTCTACCTGTATGGCACACCTGTGTCTACCTGTATGGTACACCTGTGTCTACCTGTATGGTACACCTGTGTCTACCTGTATGGTACACCTGTGTTTACCTGTATGATACACCTGTGTCTAACTGTATGCCACACCTGTGTCTTCCTGTATGGCACACCTGTGTCTACCTGTATGGTACACCTGTGTCTACCTGTATGATACACCTGTGTCTATCTGTATGATACAAATGTGTCGACCTGTATGGTTCATCTACCTCTACCTGTATGGTACACCTGTATCTACCTGTTTGGTACACCTGTGTCTATCTGTATGATACAAATGTGTCTACCTGTATGGTTCATCTACCTCTGCCTGTATGGTACACCTGTGTCTACCTGTATGATACAAATGTGTCTACCTGTATGGTTCATCTACCTTTACCTGTATAGTACACCTGTGCCTACCTGTATGGTACACCTCTGTCTACCTGTATGGCACACCTGTGTCCACCTGTATGGTTCATCTACCTCTACCTCAATAGTACACCTGTGCCTACCTGTGGTGTCTTCTGAGCAGGAGAGTAGGTAGGTGGAGTCGGGGGTGAAGCAGGTTTTGTAGACAGCCCCAGCATGGCCCCGGAGAGTCAGTGTCTCAAGATCACAGCTAGCCCTGCAGTACACAACAGTAACATGTGCAAACCTTTGATTTGATCGAAATTCAAGATATCAGGGCAATTCTGGAATACACATGGTTAGAATGTAAGTAAGCGAACATAATCAACATAATAATGCTGTTTGGGGTGCGCAACAGATCAATGAGTTACCTGTGACATCATCCCTGCTGTGTGGGCACTGGGACAACGAGGTCAATCACATGTGAACACTGCCATAATATACACTTGTCTACCTTTACCTGTAGTGTCACCAGTGATGTCAGGTGAGGAGAAATGGGGTTTAACATCTTGTCCACGATTATTGTACTTATATAGTGATATGCTGCTGCTTGTACTAGTCCGGACTAATGCTGACTTTATAGTGCTATGAATACCCAACTCAGACACAGTATACTGACTCCGAGCCGACCAGTCCTCGTTTTAGCCCCTTAATACTGAGTGCCAGACAGGGCAACAACAAGTACCATCTTTCAACGGCTTTCGGTATGACGAGGCCGGGGATCGAACCACAGACCTTCAACTATCCGGGAGGACGGTGTCACCAGTGAGCTACAAGTGGTTTACCTGGTGATCAAACCAGCAGCATGGCACATCTACCTTTATATCAGAGAGATACAAGTGGGATGTAACATCTACCTATTCCTGTAGTGTCACCAGCGAGTTACAATTAGGTTACCTGAGGGCTGCTTTGTCGTCCTCGACATTGAGGAGGTCAGCTGCTAGCGCTATCCTGCTGGGGTCGCCGTCGCCCGCCTCGGAATGGATGTGTCCGGGCGTCAGGCTCCATAGAGACACAGTGGAGTCTTCAAACCCCGCGGCCAGACTCTCGCCATCGGGGGAGACACACGTACTGCACAACCTGCAGAACAAATTGTCAAAAATCACACAACAACGACAATGGAGACACAAATTTAGATGTGTTTGCAGAAGAAGCAGCAAAACAATATTGAGCTAGTGCTATTGATATTGAGCTAGTGCTATTGATACTAATCTAGTGCTACTGATATTGAGCTGTGCTATTGATAATGAGCTAGTGCTATTGGTATTGAGCTAGTGCTATTGATATTGAGCTGGTGTTATCGATATTGAGCTAGTGCTATTGATATTGAGCTAGTGCTATTGATATTGAGCTGGTGCTATCGATATTGAGCTAGTGCTATTGATATTGATCTAGTGCTATTGATACTGAGCTAGTGCTACTGATATTGACCTGGTGCTATTGATACTGAGCTAGTGCTATTGATATTGAGCTAGTGCTATTGGTATTGATCTAGTGCTATTGATATTGAGCTAGTGCTATTGATATTGATCTAGTGCCATTGATACTAATCTAGTGCTACTGATATTGAGCTAGTGCTATTGATATTGAGCTAGTGCTATTGGTATTGATCTAGTGCTATTGATATTGAGCTAGTGCTATTGATATTGATCTAGTGCCATTGATACTAATCTAGTGCTACTGATATTGAGCTGGTGCTACTGATATTGAGCTGGTGCTATTGATACTGAGCTAGTGCTATTGGTATTGATCTAGTGCTATTGATATTGAGGTAGTGCTAGTGCTATTGATATTGAGCTAGTGCTATTGATATTGAGGTAGTGCTAGTGCTATTGATATTGAGCTAGTGCTGGTACACTGTGCGTGTGGTACACATACCCTTGGTAAGCGTTGAGGAATGTGTAGACACATATTGAGGACATACAGGGTGGTCCATCTCGAACCTTCTGGATGGACTGTGTGAGGGTGGACATGCTGACATCACTGGACACTGGGGTCGTGCTGGACTGCTTGGTAGCATGGTCGTCCTCCACCTTGGGGGTGTCGGTCAGTTCCATGTTGCTTAGCTCTTTATGCTTCACTGAAAAATTATGTGGTCGGCTTCAAACTGGCTCTTACCCTTTGTTTCACTGACATATGATGTGGTACGCTTTATATAGGCTCTAACTCTTTGTTTCACTGACATATGATGTGGTACGCTTTATATAGGCTCTAACCCTTTGTTTCACTGACATATGATGTGGTAGGCTTTATATAGGCTCTAACCCTTTGTTTCACTGACATATGATGTGGTAGGCTTCAAACTGGCTCTAACCCTTTGTTTCACTGACATGGGATGTGGTACGCTTTATATAGGCTCTAACTCTTTGTTTCACTGACATATGATGTGGTAGGCTTTATATAGGCTCTAACCCTTTGTTTCACTGACATATGATGTGGTAGGCTTTATATAGGCTCTAACCCTTTGTTTCACTGACATATGATGTGGTAGGCTTCATATAGGCTCTAACCCTTTGTTTCACTGACATGGGATGTGGTAGGCTTTATATAGGCTCCTACTCTTTGTTTCACTGACATATGATGTGGTAGGCTTCATATAGGCTCCTACTCTTTGTTTCACTGATATATGATGTGGTAGGCTTTATATAGGCTCTTACTCTTTGTTTCACTGATATATGATGTGGTAGGCTTCAAACTGGCTCTTACTCTTTGTTTCACTGATATATGATGTGGTAGGCTTCAAACTGGCTCTAACCCTTTGTTTCACTGACATGGGATGTGGTACGCTTCATATTGGCTCTAACCCTTTGTTTCACTGACATGGGATGTGGTACGCTTCATATTGGCTCTAACCCTTTGTTTCACTGACATGGGATGCGGTACGCTTCATATTGGCTCTAACCCTTTGTTTCACGGACATTTGTAGTAGACTCCAAACTGGCTCAAACATTTGGTTTCACTGACACATGATGTGTAAGGCTTCATATAGGCTCTAACCCTTTGTTTCAGTGATGATGTGGTGGACTATATTGACTCTATATTGGCTGTAACCCTTTATTTCTCTCTACCTTTTTCAAATTACTGAAATATAATGTATAATGTGTACTGACTCAATCCCTTTTGGTGGGAAAGACATGTCAGTTGTTACTGGCTCAAACTTGCATTAAAAAACAATATCGGCCTTAACCATGTACACAGGTGCTAACCATTGTGGTGTCACTAAAACATGACGAAAAGAATTGTAAACATTTTTCTCATACATATATCTCGATTCAGCCTGGGAAACAGGGAGAGACAGGATGAGTCTGTATACCCACTGAGATACCATTCAACAGTTTAACAGATGACCCACTCAGATGTAGTATACTGACTGCCAAGCTGACTTCTTCTTGTCTTATCCCCATAATGCTGAGCGCCAGGCAAGGAAACATCAAGTACCTTCTTTTTAATGTATTTAAGTATGAAGTGGACAGGGATCAAACCACTGACTTTCCACTATCCAGGCTGGTGATCTATGTACCAGACCACTGTAGTAGGTCAGAAAACAAGGGAAGGAATTGAAAATATGTTACCTACCTTCTACATGGAAGAATTGGTTGAAGATTTGCAGCATTATCATGTTGTCCTCCATCTGAAAACACATGTAGAAAACCAACTCACCAAATCTGCAAGTGTCTCAGAAACACATAGAAACAAGTATTTGTCACAAAGTGACGAAATGTCCCCCCCCTGTATATATACCATAGTACCAAATATGAAGACAATCCAGCGATTAGTTCTTGAGATATTGCGGCAACACCGTTTTCCAACTCCAAAAGCAGATTTGCCTGCTGTGACCTTGAAAATGGGGTCAAGGTCACCAAAACTGACTGGTGTCTGCGGTGCCTGTATATACACCATAGTATCAAATATGAAGACAATCCAGCGATTAGTTCTTGAGATATTGCGGCAACACCGTTTTCCAACTCCAAAAGCAGATTTGCCTGCTGTGACCTTGAAAATGGGGTCAAGGTCACCAAAACCGACTGGTGTCTGCGGTGTCTGTATATACACCATAGTATCAAATATGAAGACAATCCAGGGTTTAGTTCTTGAGATATCGCGGCAACACCATTTTCCAACTCCAAAAGCAGATTTGTCTGCTGTGACCCGGCGGGGGACAAATATACACTATGCTTGTCGTAAGAGGTGACTAATGGGAACGGGTGGTCAGGCTCGCTGACTTGGTTGTCATCAATCCCATATTGCGTGGATCGATGCTCATGATATTAATCACTGGATTGTCTGGTCCAGGCTCGATTATTTACAGACTGACGTCATATAGCTGGGATATTGCTGAGTGCTGCGTTAAACAACAAACCAACCAACCATGTCACACAACTGGTGGGTGAGTGAATGGATGATCTATCGCTCATCCATCTATCGATCTACCATATTCCAGCTGTCAGTGCTATCTGTAAATGATCAAGTGTGGGTTACGTAAACCAGTTATTCAAGCATATGTGTTGTGTGTGGATTTCACTTTGTATAAAAGGAAACTTCCACGTCGAGGTGGTAAAACACATGAAGCCGAATCATTTGAGAAAGCCGACATCTGATTGGCTCAAGAACCCACCCATCCTTCATTAAGATTTGGTGGTCAAAGTTCACTCATGGTATACCTGACGAGATCTTCTATGTTTGTGTCCAGATCCTGATCCAGAGAGGAATCTTATTGGACGAAAAGATCTGACTTTGATGAGATGTGCTGTTGGTGCAACACCATTTCACAGATTTAAGAATGGTCAACCACTACATCAAAGTGATAAAGAATCAGCACGGTCAAGTTACCATGGTTACTCACTTTGAGGTGCCTCATCAGGTAACTCAGACTGGCCTCTGTCAAGGAGATGCTGAACTTGTTGTCTCTGAAAGAAAGATAAATGCAGCAGATGAGTGAGTGAGGTGGGTTTTGTACCGAAAGGGGCACAGGTCACAGATGTTTACCACTTTGGTGACACCCTGCGATTGGCTTACATCCCTATTTCTGTTTTCTAAACCAATCCGCTCTACCATTACAGACACGGCGTGGAAAAGAAACGTCATCAGAAACATGAATGTCACTCATTTACTGGGATGCAAGAGTGAGTGAGTATGGTTTTACGCCGCTTTTAGCAATATTCCACCAATATCACAACAGGGGACACCAGAAATGGGCTTCACACATTGAACCCATGTCGGGAATCGATCCCGGGTCTTCAGCGTGACGAGCTAACGCTTTAACCACTAGGCTACCCGACCGCCCCCTGGGATGCAAGAGAAACTCGCAACAAAACAATAAAAATTTACAGTAATGAGTGAAGTAAACATTAATGGTTCTTTGCATCCCAGTATTTTCCATTGCATACTTTTGTACATGGGATGCCACAAATGCACACACTGACACCACAAGTATGTGCTAGTGCTGACAGACCAGGGATCACAACAGGCTCAATCTGGGATTTGAACCAAGGACAAGCAATCCGGCCATGGCTAAAACATGCACCACTAGGTCCCATGTTCTCCCTGCAACACAACATGACCACTCTGACCCCTACACTCATGTAGTCACTCTGTCTGCCCACCTACCTGAAGTTCCCGACATCTTGTGAGTTGGCTACATCTAGTTTGGTGTCCATCTTCCGCAGTGCTTTGATCAGCATCTTGTGACTGTCATCCTCTCTCAGTAGTGAAACATGCCGATCATGGAACTTATGGGCTACAAACACAATCAACAATGGAACAATCAGTTTTGTGGAACTACATTGATTTTCTTTCATCACCTCTGTATGGATAAATAACAATCAGCAATACTCCATTCTCCAGCATATCAATGTGGCCTGTATGTTATCAAGTGTGGGCTTGACTGTACATGCTGTGAAACACGTTGTAAACTGGTAAAGGGGACCCATTCTGTACCGTTATAACTTTAGAAGTCCAGGATAGAAAACATGTTAGATCCACATCTTGCAGATGAAACAAATTTGAGTTTCAAGCCTCAGAGTTTTAAATTATTATGAACTTGTTATGATACAGTTTATATAAAGAGACTCAAGTGAGATTCTCCGAATGTCTCACAACAAATTCTATCGTGGTGAAACAGGGAGAGAGAGTATTTCATTTTGGCAATATGACCAACACATCAGAGAGGTCTGTAAGTTTGGCAAGCAATGGTAAGTTATCAAATCTGGACCAATCAAACCAGTGGTTGATAGTAAGAGCAACAATCACCACCCTTGTTGTTTGGAGACACACAATCAGGATGTAATGAGTCTAGATTGATTTATCCTACACTAGGTTGTAGCTAATGGTGTACCTGGAGTCTTATGTCCATTACAGAGAAGTTCCAGGTAGACGTGGACAAACATTGGGAAGAGAAGACCTCGAAGTTCTCCCTGGTAGGGCTCCACAGCATCCAGTACAAAATGTTTCAATCTGAAAGTCAAAGTGAACAACATTGTGATCCCGTAAGTTTCAAAAGGTTCTATTTACAATCAACTTTTGAACTGGTTTGTCAACTTCAATTTCAGAAAAGTTTACTTTAAGGTTCTACTACACCAAATCAGAACCAGTTTGGACAGTGCGGTTTTCGTAGGAGCCTACAGTGCAGATCGAGAGATATCTGCAGGCTGATATCTACATGATCTAAGCAAGTCTAGATAAATCTTTGCATACATAATCACACATTTCCAATATGTTCTCAGCATTGATATGCTGTTCTGCATTTTGATATGCTGTTTGGGACCAAGGCTTTGCCTTTGCTAATACATGTTGTAAGTATTTGTAGAATTTAGTGCTATTGTTTTAATGTAAAATCTTAAAATTAAATGAAGATCCGGGGTAGAATAGATCTTCAGCAACCCATGTTTACCAACAAGGCGACTATGCTTGTCGTAAAGAGGCGACTAACGGGTTGGGTGGTCAGGCTTGCTGATTTGCTTGATGCATGTCATCATATCACAATTGCGTGGATCGATGCTCATGATATCAATCACTGCCGTCATATAGGTGAAATATTGCTGAGTGTGGCGTTAAACAACAAACTAACAAACTTAATAAATATTGTGTTGATGCTAGCATGAGATTAATGCAAAACGTGTGAGTGCTCTTTTATGTGCCATGTCACTTTCTCACGTTCATTGCACATGCACATACTGGAAACATTTAACATTAAGGACAACAGACCCAAGTTAAGCTCACCTGCCATGAATGGCTATTCACCATGTACAACAAGTACATTACCCACATGACAAAGCAGATACACTGGTATATATTCACAAATATGATCAGGCAGTTTATATGATGATCAACCATGCCAACAATGTGTGATGTTGTCTTTACTTTTAGGAATAATTATCAAGTGAGGTAGCCTATAGGTGGACTCAATGGTAGAGCTTCTCACATTAATTTCATGGCACATTTTAGGCTTGGGGTTGACAATCCTATTAATTTGGTGATACATTAATGTGATATGCAGTTTTGATTGATCTGGGACTTTAGCCATTTGTCCAAAAGGGAAGTCTAGTGCAGTGTAAACTTTCTTTCAGTCTAATAAGCATTACCAAGACTCTGAAAGGGACACTCTGATAAAGGAGTAAAATCTAGAGATGAATGTGTTCTGTCTGGTAGACTCAGAAGGTTTCAGTAACTTGATATTTACTGTGAAGACTGCACTAGCTGGCACAGTTTACATGTAGCAATGCAGTCAACATGGTCATGTAAAACTGATCTTAGTCTGTAAACTCAGCTGATGCTCTCCATATCAGCATGTGAAAACCTTTGCCCATGTTGTCATTGCACTGAAGGGTGGTCGGGTAGCCTAGTGGTTAAAGCGTTCACTTGTCACGCCGAAGACCCAGGTTCGATTCGTGAGATGGGTACAGTGTGTGAAGCCCATTTCTGGTGTCCCCTGTCGTGATATTGCTGGAATATTACTAAAAGCGGTGTAAAACCATACTCACTCACTCACTGTCATTGGCCTGCTGTGATAAGTTAAAGATGTAAGGGCCCCTAGATTCAAATACTAAACATTTCCAAAGTCATACTGTTATAGTCATAACTGATGTTATGGCTTGGTCAAAGTGACTTGTATTTCACTGACGACAGGACCAATACACATGATATAGATGAAGAGGCTTTAATGCTTAGTTTCACATCATTGCATAGAATGCAATGTTAAAATACCTCTGAATTTAAAAAATAAAAATGTGAAAACATACCAAATTTGAAAAAAAGGATTATTCCCAATTTGCCCAACAAGGGGATTTAGTTAGGGATCAAAGTGTAAAATTGCTAGTATGTACAAATGAACACTAATGACCATGACTTCTGTTCATTGAGTGAGTGAGATAGTGTTGTTTTACACCAAAGTCAGCATTATTCCTGCATTAACAAGACAAACTGATAAAACTGTGTGAGACAGCATGAGGAAAGATCCATGTTGTGGGGTGCTGTGACACAATCACCCAGGTCATGTACCTTAATTCCCCCATGCTCATTACTCAGCAATAATGACAACAGTGGGGTACTGCCCCCCCCCCGAATAACAAAGAATCACTGGCCAGAATCACAAATAACAGGATTCATTTCTATAGAACAGTGTCTCTAACAGTCAAACCTTGTGAATTGCTGATCACAAGCTGTGGCATCCCCAGAAATGCTGCTGTAGACAAGGACGTTCTCAGTGTTGCCATTGCAGTTGACGCTCCCATGCAGGGCCACCTCACTCAACTGTTGTGTAGCTCCACACTCCCGTTTCCCACTCACCTCTGCGTCCTGTAATAAATGATGCCTTAATCATATATACAGAATACATTCATCATATGGAACACCACCATGATCATACACATACAGGGATATAAGGTTTTGTCCAGGCATGGCATTCTGGGTTCAAAAGAAAGTAAAATTAATGGTCACTATGTAGCAGATAATTATCGTGAACATAAATATGACTCTCTAACCCTGGCATTGACACTGGTTGACATTTTTGTTTTTCTGTTAAATTTTGAGCAGATGAAATATTTGCAATTAATGCAAATACATGTATATGCAATATCCATGTTGGTCTGCAAAGTCCCAAGTTTCACGCATTTCACAACATGTTTATCTGTCATGAATTGGTTCAAATTTTACCATGTTCATAAATCCATCAAATTTAGCCAGGGTTACTACATACACAAATACGACCATTGTATATCGCTAAAGATGTTTTTTTTGCTTCTCTTTGACTTTTGGCACATTACATGGAAGAAAAATTCAGAGAATCAAATGGCAGAGTCATGCTTTGATACTGTCAGCGGAAACATCCAAACCCACCATGAAGTGCCTCCTCTTTAAATAATGAGTGACAGTCGACTGTATCTGCTCATGTTTAACTCTTTTCATCTTAAGAAAATGTGGAATATCAGGTGTTGACATAACATCCCACATTTTTGCCAGAACTGACTCAAATCAGCCACATCTTTTCATTTGCTTTGTGTTCAGTTTGGAAACTGCAAAGATTCTAGCTTCCGGCTGCCATTTTGATAAAGGGAGGTAATTCAAGATTTGCTTTCTACTGAGGCGTATAACTTCTCCAGTGTTTACAGCTACACGTGTTCGAAACCGAGAACTTGCATGTGTAGTGCCATTATATTTTAATGTTGCACGTTGCGTTCAGTTTTAAAATGGGTTCGACCATTAATCAGGGATATAAAACTATTATGTATGATATAGCCTATACAAATTAAAACGGTTAAATTAAGTAACTATGAACACTACATTAGCCTAACTTTGGTGTTTCATTTAAATCGTTTAGCAGGTGAAATGTTTTTCCTGTTTTCCAACAAATGGAATCAATCATTGGCATCTTGAATAAACAAAGTCCTTAGACGTTACCTCAAGGGTAAGATCAATAAGGAAGACGTCCACTTTTTGGTCATACGTACGAAGGTCGACTGAGGGAAGAAATGTTTACTTCGCGTGCATGGCTCGATTTGGGGATTAGTAGAGACAATAGGATTACGCTCTGTTTTCTTAACATGTAAATCCCGGTTATACGGTTGGAAGCATAGCTAGGACTTAAGATCGACTACATTTAATTCTTTACCTGTACATATGAGCAATTCTTTATTTTACCTGTACATCTGATCAATTCTCTATTTTACATGTACATATGATCAATTTTCTATTTTACCGGTACATATGATCATTTCAATATTTTACATGTGACCATTTTTATATTTTACCGGTACATATGATCATTTCGAAATTTTACCTGTACATATAATCCATTATTTATTTTATATCTATACGTATATATACATGCACTCTGTATGATACAGTATCGAACGGAGAGGAACGACATTGACAGACATTGGCATTTGATTTATTAAGAAGAATAACATTTGGTCTCAGGACAGGTGCAAGAGGTGGGGATATGCAACAGCGTACATTTGAGTCCATCTTCCCTCTCTGCAGAGATCCTTTTAGGTCAAATCAAATTTAACTTAAATTTTCAAATCAAATTACACTTACATTTTCAAATCAAATTAAAATAATTTCTAATTAAACTTAAATTTTACCGTTACATTCATAAAGCATTTATGTGTACCTTTTTGATAAGATGAGAATATAACGTTCATATACTTCATGAATGAAAAGTGTTTAATTATAATTATTAAATGATTGAATAATGGACAGCTCAAATAGAATCAATTACTAAAAAGGTTACTCCGATGATCGGGGCCACGGGTGCGTCCCTTGGGCACGCCAGAAACCAATGATTGTGGGTTCGAATCCCGGTTCGCCCCGTTTATGTTTCTAGATTTGTCAGCACCATTACCGTGCTCGTTGGTTTCACCGAAGTGGTAAACGTCTGAGACCTGCATCACTTCGGGCTTTCCTCCCACATTAAGCTGACACGCCGTGATATAACTGGTAAACTGTAAAAAGCGGCGTTAAACCAAACTCACTCACTCACTACTCCGATGATCAATTGTTTACGCAGTTGTAAATATCGTTTGAATAGGAAATCTTTGCTAACAATGTACAAATTGTTCATTTTGCCCTTATTTGATTATTGTATTCATATGAGGGACAGTTGTACTAATCATCCGAAAACTGTACTTGAAAATATGGAGCTAGATGCCTTAAGGACAATATATAGTGAAACGAATATCTTACCTCTTAAAGATAAAAGACGTGTTCAAAATTTGAAACTGTTTAACAAAATGGAACAAAGAAAAAACACCTTACTATCTATATCCATATCTATTGATAAACTTGCCGATAAAGTCTATTTGTCAGTAAGGGATACCCTATAGTGGTATAACACGCTTCTCGTCTGTTTGACAGTGTGTAAAGGAAACCCTAGAGTGGTATTACAAGCTTCTAGTCTGTTTGGCAGTGTTTAAGGGATACCCTATAGTGGTATTACAAGCTTCTACTCTGTTTGTCAGTGTTTAAGAGATACCCTATAGTGGTATAACACGCTTCTCGTCTGTTTGTCAGTGTTTAAGGGATACCCTATAGGGGTATAACACGCTTCTCGTCTGTTTGACAGTGTTTAAGGGATACCCTATAGGGGTATAACATGCTTCTCGTCTGTTTGACAGTGTTTAAGGGATACCCTATAGGGGTATAATTAACAAGATTCTAGTCTGTTTGTAAGTGTGTAAGGGATACCCTATAATGGTATAACAAGCTCCTCGTCTGTTTGACAGTGTTTAAGGGATACCCTATAGGGGTATAACAAGCTTCTAGTCTGTTTGACAGTGTTTAAGGGATACCCTATAGGGGTATAACAAACTCCTCGTCTGTTTGAGAGTGTTTAAGGGATACCCTATAGTCGTATAACAATCTTCTCGTCTGTTTGACAGTGTTTAAGGGATACCCTATAGTGGCATAAGAAGCTTCTCGTCTGTTTGACTTTGTGTAAGGGAGGTCCTGGTGGTATAACAAGCCTATCGTCTGTTTGACAGTGTTTAAGGGGTAACCTATAGTGGTATTACAAGCTTCTAGTCTGTTTGTCAGTGTTTAAGGGATACCCTATAGGGGTATAACAAGATCCTCGTCTGTTTGACTGTGTTTAAGGGATACCCTATAGGGGTATAACAAGCTTCTAGTCTGTTTGACAGTGTTTAAGGGATACCCTATAGGGGTATAACAAGCTCTTCGTCTGTTTGACAGTGTTTAAGGGATACCCTATAATGGTATTACAAGCTCCTCGTCTGTTTGACAGTGTTTAAGGGATACCCTATAGTGGTATAACAAGCTCCTCGTCTGTTTCTCAGTGTTTAAGGAATACCATATAGTGGTATAACAAGCTTCTTGTCTGTTTGACAGTGTGTAAGGGAGGTCCTAGTGGTATAAGAAACTTCTCGTCTGTTTGACAGTGTTTAAGGGATACCCTATTGTGGTATAACAAGCTACTCGTCTGTTTGACAGTGTTTAAGGGATACCCTATAGGGGTATAACAAGCTTCTCGTCTGTTTCTCAGTGTTTAAGGGATACCATATAGTGGTATAAGAAGCTTCTCGTCTGTTTGACAGTGTGTAAGGGAGGTCCTGGTGGTATAAGAAGCTTCTCGTCTGTTTGACTGTGTGTAAGGGAGGTCCTGGTGGTATAAGAAGCTTCTCGTCTCTTTGATTGTGTGTAAGGGAGGTCCTGGTGGTATAAGAAGCTTCTCGTCTGTTTGACAGTGTTTAAGGGATACACTTTAGTGGTATAAGAAGCTTCTCGTCTGTTTGACTGTGTGTAAGGGAGGTCCTGGTGGTATAAGAAGCTTCTCGTCTGTTTGACTGTGTTTAAGGGATACCCTATAGGGGTATAACAAGCTCCTCGTCTGTTTGTCAGTGTTTAAGGGATACCCTATAGGGGTATAACAAGCTTCTAGTCTGTTTGTAAGTGTGTAAGAGATACCCTATAGTGGTATAACAAGCTTCTCGTCTGTTTGTCAGTGTTTAAGGGATACCCTATAGTGGTATAAGAAGCTTCTCGTCTGTTTGACTGTGTGTAAGGGAGGTCCTGGTGGTATAAGAAGCTCTCGTCTGTTTGACTGTGTGTAAGCGATACCCTATAGTTGTATAAGAAGCTTCTCGTTTGTTTGACTGTGTGTAAGGGAGGTCCTGGTGGTATAAGAAGCTTCTCCTCTGTTTGACTTTGTGTAAGGGAGGTCCTGGTGGTATAAGAAGCTTCTCGTCTGTTTGACTGTGTGTAAGGGAGGTCCTGGTGGTATAAGAAGCTTCTCGTCTGTTTGACTGTGTGTAAGGGAGGTCCTGGTGGTATAAGAAGCTTCTCGTCTGTTTGACTGTGTGTAAGGGAGGTCCTGGGGGTATACGAAGCTTCTCGTCTGTTTGACAGTGTGTAAGGGATACCCTATAGTGGTATAACAAGCTACTCGTCTGTTTGACAGTGTTTAAGGGGTAACCTATAGTGGTATAACAAGCTTCTCGTCTGTTTGACAGTGTGTAAGGGAGGTCCTGGTGGTATAAGAAGCTTCTCGTCTGTTTGACAGTGTTTAAGGGATACCCTATAGGGGTATAAAAAGCTTCTCGTCTGTTTGACAGTGTGTAAGGGAGGTCCTGGTGGTATAAGAAGCTTCTCGTCTGTTTAACTGTGTGTAAGGGAGGTCCTGGTGGTATAAGAAGCTTCTCGTCTGTTTGACTGTGTGTAAGGGAGGTCCTGGTGGCATAAGAAGCTTCTCGTCTGTTTGATTGTGTGTAAGGGAGGTCCTGGTGGTATACGAAGCTTCTCGTCTGTTTGACAGTGTTTAAGGGATACACTTTAGTGGTATAAGAAGCTTCTCGTCTGTTTGACTGTGTGTAAGGGAGGTCCTGGCGGTATAAGAAGCTTCTCGTCTGTTTGACAGTGTGTAAGGGAGGTCCTGGTGGTATAAGAAGCTTCTCGTCTGTTTGACAGTGTTTAAGGGATACCCTATAGTGGTATAACAAGCTCCTCGTCTGTTTGTCAGTGTTTAAGGGATACCCTATAGTGGTATAACAAGCTTCTAGTCTGTTTGTCAGTGTGTAAGAGATACCCTATAGTGGTATAAGAAGCTTCTCGTCTGTTTGACTTTGTGTAAGGGAGGTCCTGGTGGTATAAGAAGCTCTCGTCTGTTTGACTGTGTGTAAGGGATACCCTATAGTTGTATAAGAAGCTTCTCGTTTGTTTGACTGTGTGTAAGGGAGGTCCTGGTGGTATAAGAAGCTTCTCGTCTGTTTGACTGGGTGTAAGGGAGGTCCTCCTGGTATAAGAAGCTTCTCGTCTGTTTGACTGTGTGTAAGGGAGGTCCTGGTGGTATAAGAAGTTTCTCGTCTGTTTGACTGTGTGTAAGGGAGGTCCTGGTGGTATAAGAAGCTTCTCGTCTGTTTGACTGTGTGTAAGGGAGGTCCTGGGGGTATAAGAAGCTTCTCGTCTGTTTGACAGTGTGTAAGGGAGGTCCTGGTGGTATAAGAAGCTTCTCGTCTGTTTGACAGTGTGTAAGGGAGGTCCTGGTGGTATAAGAAGCTTCTCGTCTGTTTGACTGTGTGTAAGGGAT